TCCGTGAAAGCTGCTGCGATGACGAAGAAGTTCCTTGGAAATAAGCCGTTGCCGAACTCATGCGGGCGTCTTCACCATTGGCTCAGGGAATTGAGCGATATTTTCATCATCAAAATAACCCTGCAACATGTTTGATCACGTTCTATCGGTGACCTTCCGGGTTGATTCCACATTGTAATGCTCCAACTCCAAGTCTAACGCCAGGTCATTAGATCCGCTCTTCTCTTTCCAACACCTCCATACTTCTCAGCTTGTTTAGGCGAGCCCCGATCTTCAGCAGAGAAACGTAAAGAGAAGCTGGATTGAGATAAAAATCGCAGCGGGGCTTACTCGCGGTGTTGTATCGCTTCCCTTTACTCCACAACACCGCAAACAAAGATGAGCTTTCTACAGCAAACTCAGCAGCAGCAATCGCTCGCCGTCGCGGCTGCGGCGGCTGTTGCAGCACTGCTCACCTCTCGGTTGCTCAGAAACCTGTTGTACACAGCCTCTTCTGCAACCAGCTCCTCTAAGATTTCCCGTGCGTTGACGCAGTCCGGCTTGAATGAAGATCCCTCGCTCTTCGCACTCCAAGCTTTCACACGCCTCTGCGCCGCCTTCGGTCCTTCTGGTCTCAATGCACCAGGCACGGCTCGTGGTGCTATGATCGCCAGCCCTTCCCGACCGGGAGATCGATGGAACAAGAAAGATGAGAATGACAACTATTTTTTCCAGTGGCCACGCGATTCGGGTATCTCTGTTCGGATCGTCGTACGGAGATGGGCGAGAGCCCTGGAAGGACGGCAAGTTGGCATGCCTGGTGGTCGCAAATGGCTCCATGGGGCGCTTAAGAGAGCTAAAGCAGGGCAAAACTCCTTTATGAGGATCGATCAATTGAAGGGACAGGGAGAAGATGCTGCAATGCTCGAAGGCATCATCCAAGAGTGTGTATTACACATTCCCGACTAATGCGGCATTACCAGTGCTAACCCCTTCGCCAAACCATCTGTTCTTCAGCTTCGCACGCATGAATCACCACCTGCAGACGGTCGAGAGTCCCTCGGGAACCTTTGAGACAGGTGGCCTTGGCGAACCAAAGTTTCTTGTCGACGGAGAACCTTTCACGGGTTCATGGGGAAGACCTCAGAATGTGGGCCCAGCATACGAGTGATTCTTTCCAGGATTTGCTCGCTGATGTGGGCATTTGCATATGAAAGGACGGTCCGGCCCTTCGCTCGCTAGCGCTCCTCTCGTATGCTTCGCAGGTCATCTCGCAGCTGCCACCTGACCACCCATCGCGGGACTTTGTCTTTGAGGTCCTCTACAGTCTCCCGTCCCTTCGCGGTCAAGGATCACCTGAATCGCACCGCGTCATCAACACCGACCTGGATTACATTTGTCGTGTTTGGCGAGAAGGAGGGTTCGATCCCTGGGAGGAGGTGAACGCTGGTTACCCTGCAGAAAGCAGCAAGCCAGAGTCCTCTATCGGCGGCCATTTCTACGTTCTTATGTGTCAACGCCAGGCGCTTCTACTCGGCACGAGATTCGCTCGTTCTATCCATGATGCTACAAGTTCAAAGCTTTGGGCAGACACCGCGAGGAAGATTGAGGAGGCGCTGGAGGCGTTTTGGAACCCTACCGGCTCCCTAGGACTCGAAGGGGATGGGACCGATGGCCCGCTAAGCGAAGACGCTTGGAACGACCCGCGTAGACACTTGCTCTCGGTCCCACAAGAGCTCCTCCGGCGCCCGCACATTGTACCCACGCTTCACAGACGCTATGGCCAGCCAAAGCCGCTGCAGATTGATAGCCAGGTCTTGCTCGCTTTCACGCATGCAGGAGATGGGACCTGGTGCAGTGTTGATGTAGAAGGCGGAGAAGCAGTGGCATCAGCGCGAACGTGGGCGCCGTGGAACGAACGCTGCCTGGCCACGCTTGACCGCCTCGTTGAAGTCTTTTCGATCGTGTACGAACTGAACGCAGGGCTTGACACAACAACGGATGGAGTCCTCTGCGGAAGATACCCCGTACGTAAATTGCGCCTGATACAAAAGCGAAAGGAGGAAAAGACTGATGCGTACCCGCGCCGTCCACTATATCTCGCAGGAGGACATATACAATGGAAAAGAACAATCTGTTGGTCATCCTTGGTTCATCTGCACGCACGCCGTTGCAGAAATTCTTGCCCTCTGCACTATGCACTTTACGCGCTTCCGCACCATCACGCCAACCACTCACTCACTCCCCTTTTTCCAGCGCTTCGATCCTTCCGTCCGAGCTGATTGTACTTACATGAAAGGTGCGGCCGACGGAAAATTCGAAGCCATCTTGAAAGGCTTGCGCACCATGGCTCGCGCTTACCTCGATCACGCCAGGAGCTATGCCGGTCCCGAGGGCAGGATGGACGAACAGATTGAACGCACAAGCGGAGTCATGCGAGGGGCGAGGGAGCTTACATGGTCTTATGCAAGCTTGTTGTCCGCATGGGACGCCATCACGGAGGAAAGTCCCGATCTCAAGTAGAGGGTTGTGTATGCTACAGTGTGATTGCACGTTATTTGCAGTGCCTAGGGCGCCCGAATTTAGTTCACCAATCGTCGCCGTCATCGCTGTCTCTCCTGTATTCGTGTCCGAGTCCAAACTCGTCATCGTCGCTGATTTCCTGTTCGGGATAGTCGTTCCTGTAGAAATCCTCGTCATTCGAGTCCTCATCTTCACCTTCGTCCCAGCTGTCGAACCCATCACCAGGCTTAGCGCCCAAACCCAACTTGCTGCCGACCATCTCTTCATCCACTAGTTCTTCCAGGTCGCCGTCCTCATCATCTTCGTCCGCATAGACACCTCCCACGCCGTCGAGCTTGGTGGACGGTAGCATCATGAGCTCCTCCCAATCTGCGCGGCTAAGGCTCGAGACATTCAGCGCTGCAATTGACTGCACCCCTTGGATGCCTAGCAGAGGCAAGGGAGGTCTGGACGTGGGGAAAACTGTACTGCCTTTGGGTCCAGCCGTAGACGATGCAGATGCTGCAGCATCTGCAGCTGCAACTGCAGCAGGCGAGCCGGCTGGAGCTGCTTGATCGTTCACTTCTTCTTCGTTGGGCTGAAGGTAGCCGCTGCCGGCGACATGACTTGGTCTCAGCCCAACTTCAGCAGCACCATTCGCGGAGGCTCGAGATGGCATGGCTGCAGGAATTTCACGATAGTAAATGTCGTAAACGTAGTCGTCATCATCATCTTCCTGATCATCCGATTCCGCCTCAGAGGGCATTTCAGATGAGAGATCATCGTCCCTGAGATCATTTGGCACTTCTGCATTCTTGGCTGTGTGCGCGAAATGAAAGGTGAGAAATGAGTCCAAGCCGAGCAGCAGGGAAAGTGTAATCTCACCTCTCAAATGGTCGACAAGCATGTTTTTGAAGACATCGCCCAGGCTGTCGACAGGATCAGCCTGCTTTTTCTTCTCCTTCCTTTTGCTCTTGGCTGCCTTGCTCTGTCTCGCAGCATCCTGTGCCGCTTTCTCTTCTTGCACCACAATGTCAATGATCCGGGCCTGTTGCCTCTTGGACTTTGCACGGCTCTGCGAGATCCACGCCGCAGCTGTCGCAGCACCAGGAACTATCTCGCGCTTGCCCCGGCCTTCAGACGCTTGTCTAATGTCGCCAATTACCGCAGCTTTTCTCCGCAACGATGCGTCGGAGCCACTGCGTTTGAGCAAGGCACTGCGCCGGTGATAGCTACCACCCGCTGCAGCTGCTGTAGCCGAGCCTGATGCCGGTGCTGACATTGACTTTGTTATCGATATGTCCTTTGCTCGAACAACAGCTTTGTATCGGCGCAAAGCAGCGAGCTCGCCGCTGTCCGATTGGCTTTGGTACGAATCGCTTCCCTCCGAGGGTGTTGGCGTAGCCGATGCTGGCCTCTGCTGCGCATTCCTGCGCATCATCTGCAGCTTGGTGACTCGCTTTCGCAACTCCAGCTCGTCTGCCTTGCTCGTTGTCGCCATCGTCTCGGCGAAGCGAAAATATCCTGGCGTTTGCTGTTGCTTTGATGCACTTACATCAAACGGCGAAGCTCGGTTGGAGTCTGGAGCCTGGGGTGTGCTAGGCAGCCTTTCCAAAGATGGAGAGGCCGGCAGCCGCACTGATGAGCGGCGCTTGAGATGATGTCCATCATCCAACTCATCGTGCGCGCCACGCAGCTGCCCTTCGATATACAGCGCATCTGCCGGCTCTGTTCCTCTTTTGCGCTTGATTCGGAGGATCATCGAGACCGGCCCAGCTGGCGCACCAGAGCTAGTTGAGCCAGACGCCGCCTGCCTCTGGTTAGCAGCAACATCGCCGCTGTCCGCGAAGGTATCGACAGCGGGTGCAGGTGCGCTCATCTTGGAGGTCGCACTGTTCCTCAGATTCTATCGTGCGTGTGAGTCTGCAGCTGGCATAGCTTCCGTTCGAGTGCCTTCAGCTTCAGAGCGAAGGTCGTTCCTTACGACAGTCCCTTCCGTCTATGTGGCCACGGCGCCGCGGTTTTGGCATTCAAAGTTGCGGGAACGTACGTTCAGTGTGGATGTTGCATCCCTGTCATGCCTGAAAGGTGTGAGATGTGATGTGTCATGGGAATCAACATTCGGTTGCAAGAGTCGACCAGTCGTCGCGAACAGGTTCAAATTTATATTAGAACACATCTCACGCGAATCTGAATCCCTCCCACTAAATAAATCCTCATGATGCCAGGTTGATGAGCAGCTCAAACTGGAACCTGCTACCCAACTTTCCTTTTTGATGATATCCTGTAGCATGCTGCTGCCTTAGCTCTCGTACTGCCAAACAAAAGTGGCTTTCCAAGATTACATGCTTAAGCTCATTCCCTTTCGTGCGTTCTGCATTGTGAGTTGCGGTTGTTTCATGTCTGCTGAGAATGCCTCATGATTATGCTGCGACAGCCGCCTTAAGCATAGGCGTCTTGATGGGAGCTTCTTTAGTGAGCTGAGCGTGTGAAGGCATCGGGGATAGTGCCCTTGGCCTAGAAGCCGAGGTCGCTAGCATCTGACGATCGGTGTCCACCGCAGTCTTCGGTTGTCTGGGGAAAGCGCAAGGGAACGTACACCTAGTGCTTGGCGAGCACCTTGCGGAACTCATCGTCGGTGACGTCGTTGAAAAACACATACTGGCCCATGGGTTTGGGCAATTCAAAGCGCTGCCTGCTATATCAATGACTTCTTGATCGCTTCGACGGACCGCAAGAGAAAAGCTTCGTCGACGAGCTCGTGGTCGACGGTGAGGCCACCGTTGGCCGCAAGCTGGAACCATTCCTTGCGTTTGGCCCCGGTGATGTATCCGCCGTAGAAGGCCTGGTTGACGCTGAAGCTGAAGCTAATGCCGATGGTGAGGATACCCGTGACGCAGAGGCGGCCAAGGGACCAGTTTGAGAGGAGGCGAGTCACGGCCGTTGGCGATCACACCATCCAGTCTGATTTGATGCAAGTTACTCGACTTCAATTGCGGAATCTTGCGTGTCGAACGACGGCATATCTTTTCGCCAATCTTACGGAGCTCGCGGTGCGTTTTCATTCCTTCCGCACGCTTTCTTGCCTGTTTCTCTGTCACTCTTCACAAGCAGACCCCAGGTCGCCTTGCGGGCCACAGTCGAGATCTTGAACAGCTCCATCATGCCGTTCCGCTTCTGGCCTGTAGCAAGGTCTTAAGGGCTTCGAAGCCTAAGGAAGTGTGTAGTGGAAAGTGTTAGGCGCCAAGGAGGCCCTTGGGCTTTCCATAATTGATTCCAAGCTTGACCCAGACTGCGGCGTCGATCAAAGCGATTAACCAACGTCGTACCGACACGAATTTAGTTGGAGATACGAAGGTACGAGGCACACGCGTAGCTGGCGACGTCGTGACCCAGGCCACCATCGACAATGAGAACAGGCTCGGTCCGGATGGGACCGAACTTGTCCATGGCATCAACAAAGCCGAACATGGTGCCCATGTACTTGTGGATCTCGCTTCCCTTGACGGCGTCGATCATGGGCGCATCGTTTCAGGCAGAAACGTGTACAAGCTTCAACACGGGCCTGCAACCTCATGTTGCATGTGAAGACGAGCGGGAAATACGATTCGACTCACACTCATTTACCACCTCACTGTAGATGCCGTTGATATTCTCGTCCATCATCACAAGAGCGCGTCCCATTTCTTGTAGTGGGCTACAATCCCTGTCGACGTGGCGAACATCCACGCGCGATGAGTAAGAGTCCTACTCAGAGAAGGAAGCATTGACCAGCCTTTGCAAGACCTGTTCACCTCCCTTCTCGGTGCCGAAGGTATTGTCGATAAATCTAAAGCTGTAATTTGATTTCCAGCTACCATTGACTTCGAAACCTGCCGCGATTGAGTTCTTCGAGACGGATTTTTTGTATACTTGTCCAGCCACGTTTGACTGGGGGCAGTTTGTTCGTCGCAGCAGGTGATCTTGAAGCGCTACAGGGTTGTAGAGGGTGTGATTACAGAATGGGCTGCTTGAATATGTTTACATGGTAAGTTGTTTTTGGACGCTTGCGAGCGAAGAGCCCGTATTGCCAAACTGACAAAACCCAGGGGGAGGGGTGGAGTGGCTGAAACTAGCTGCTGTTTGAGTGTGTGCTTTTGGTTGTCGAAGGGGGAAACCTTCGTCAAAGCTGAATGGCAACGTCGCCCAGTGAGCACTATATATCAAATGCTGGGGTGCACTGTGTATGGGAGCTTCAATTGAATAGAGCGAGAAGCAGTGCGCGCTTGAAAGCGTTTCATTACAGTTTCTTGTGGTGCGCTCTTCTGCGCAGAGCGTAACACTCGCATCGAACTACTTCGAGCCCGCCTTTAGCTGTCGTCCTTCCTTGCTATTTTTTTTTCTTTTCACACTGCCGATCAAGTCTACCTGTATTTCCCGTAACATGCTTCATGAGCTCGGACGACCACTTGTGGCCTACCAAGTAGAGAGTCACATGCGCCAGTAACGAGACAGTCTTTCTGAAGCAGAATTCTATTTAAGAACGTACATAGCCACTTCGGGGTGCCATCTTCCGGGTCCATCAGACGCTCGCCATATACGATGAGAGAATTGAGCGTGGTTGATGCTTCAAAACACTCGTTTAAAGGGACAAAGGGAAAAGCGCTCACGTGGCCTTGAAAGTGTGAGGCACCGCACCCTCGCCACAACCGAAGGAAGAAGGGTGGGCTATTGCCATGTTGCGACTGTCGTCACTGGGGAGAAAGCGCGAAGAGTATTGAGGGTTTAAAACACTTGCAACATGGGAAGGATGAAGGTTCGGCTCATGCCATGTGACTCTAACAATTGCGGTAGCCAATCTTGCACGGCACAGGGTGATCAGATTTCTTCTCTCGCGTGCTGAGGAAGGCGATTTTCACAGGGTCATAGTCATTCGCGAGGCCTATCAAAGTCTGGCGGATAGGACTGCCCATTGAAATGGGACTCAGTGAAGTGATACTGAAGCGGATCGACAGGTGGGGCACTCAGACAGAACCATTGTATCTTGCTTTATAACGCGGATACGTCTGAAATTGTACTTACGATACTGATGGCAATGGCAGCTGGGCGGTGCAAGGAAGTGGTGGACGCTCAGCCTTATGCGCGGATCTGGGCGTTATCTGCACAAATCGCTGCTTTGAATCAATTGGATCACCTGCCTACTCCAGCTTGAGCTTGCGACACCAGAATCAGGCAATGTACCTGACTTTGAAGTCTTCATAACTTCGCGCATACGGAGGCTTGGTAAGGTATTTTCCCTCCGTGCTTCCTTCTTTGCTAGGTATGGGAGCGTCCCGACCAGTGCAAGGCGGCTCAATGATCCCGTGTCCTTGCTCTTTTTCGCATCGCAGTCTTTCGCGCGCTGAAGGGTTCGGCCTTCTTTCTGGCCAAGTATATTTAAAATAGATGTCAGCGAGGCAGATATATTTAGGTGCAAGGGGATGAGGTTGCACCTGCAAAGGAGCTCCGGAGGTGTGAAAGAGGACTGCAAGCTTCTGAGAGTGCTCGAACTGATGCACTTGGGTTAAGGATAAGTTTATCTATGAAAGAACGCGATATTAGAATTGATGAAAGGCACGAGAGAGCTGCTGAAATGTGCGGCGAAGAGCGCTCGCAGACTTTATTGCATTTGCTCGTGATGCTTGCTAGAGACCTTCTTTATACCCTAACTAGCCACATCGTCTGGGTCGTGCCAATGTACTAAAGACTTTCACAAGACCGCGACTCAACATTGGCTGGTGTCATTCTTTGTCGGCACAGTCGACGGTTGCCATTGTCTCGTTGAACCCTATCACGAACAAGCTGCCTACCGCATCGGGTTCGACCAATTGGCCCATCGTAACTCAGATTTGTTTCACTCGTCACTGTTTGTAGGTTGAACCCTGCTTTGATTGTTCTACTTTCGTTAAGGCCCCTAGGACCTCGACCGCAACGCCACAGAATGGCGATGGGCTCATTTTATCATGGAAGATAAATCAATGTCAACGCACATGACGTACCGAATGCATGCTGCCAACTGGTCGAAGCGGCGTCCACGTACTCGTTCTCGCCGTTCCTAGATTGTTGGGCTTTGCAGCGAATGCGCGATGGGGAGGCGCGCCCAATAAAACGGTTGACGTCATCTGCTGGCCTGCGTTGATTTTTCATCCACAAAAGAAGTAAGCCACGCTCACCAAAGTCAGACCCTTTTTCCGTCATGCGCCGTGACCAGCATGATGGTGGGCGAAACACAAAGCGATGAGTCGCACACGAGCAAGACCCTTTCCGAAACACTACTATAGGAAGATGGCCCCCGCTTCTTGGCCAATCAAAACAAGAGCGGCCCACAGCGGGTGGAGTAACACTGTCAAATAAGCGGTCGGAGCCGCATGTATTTATATTTTGAGCTCCAAGCCAGCAGATGCTTCCCGCAAGCGGCTAATGAGGTACAGGACTAGTACATGGACTGTGGAGGGTGTACATGAAAGGCCCAAGAAACCTGCGCCGGGGCCCAGCCACCCGGCGACTGCTTGGCTTTCACAGGCCGCTCCCTATCGCCAGGGCTTCGGCAGATCGTCTCGTGTCCCAGGGACTTCCGTGAGCATCTGAGATCACGCGACTTGTGCCGAAGCTCAGCGTCATCGTGCGATAATGGGATATGTGCTTTATTTTCTCAATGTATTTATTATTTTCCGAACATAAGCTTCGGGGTTTAGCATCGAGAGGACCCTCAGCGGCCGCAGCTTCTGAGGGTCATACTCTTCGCGACCCGCAAGGCTGTGTAATCATGTAGCAATTAGCATACGTGATTCGAACCTCCAGTTTTCTTCTCGCTTAAGTGGAGCCGTTCATAGTGCCACAGGTTGAGATACATTAGAGAAATTTGGTCAAGATATAAAAGCACACAAAGTTGCAGATGCACATTCGCAAACACAAGGTTGTTATTTTTCACCCATGCAGCAAAGCCAATCAAGCCTCCTTCCCGCAACATACTCACGAGGAAAATACAAGCAGAAAAAGAAGAAGGGAATCAGATTTCATCATGGGAGCTGTCGCGAGTTGTTTGGGAGCTATCGTAAGGGGTACGTGTCATCCATCACGTGTGAGCGCGAAGGAAAATGTGTTAACACTTTTGACTTTTCATGTTACCATACCCAGCTATTGGGTCGTGCTTGATAGCCGTCATCAATGGAATCGAGAGCGTCCTCTCAGCTATGTGAGGCAGTTCTGGTCGCATCAGCTATTCATCTCTCGCGGAGGCTCGCATCTTATCTCCGCTTTGCTTCTCCTTCCCTTGTGTTTCAGAGTAAATGGTCTCGCGTCTACATGCATGGCTGTAGTCAATGTAAGTTACTCCTCTCACCGTGTGCCGACCGGACTTAGAGTATTGATGACACGCCCTACTGAACACCCACCGACAGTGCATCACATGCAGGTCCAGGGGCAGCGGGATGCGCACGACGAGGAGAAGGGCGATATGAGAGGCCAATCAAAGCGGACGGCGAGAGCCAAAACAACGTCCGAAGAACTTAAGAGCCACGACCCTATGTTCCAACGATGCAGTTCCAGGCTATTCCTTCGCACGATTGTACAAAATGACTTTCTGCTACAGGAAAACAATACCATTGGAGTGCAATGCGCTATCCAGTCAGAGTACAAAGTGGAGCTGATATAACTCAATCGGACGGCATGACGCTGGCCTGCCGCGAGCCCGGTGTTGAGGAGCCCGGCTCGACGCTCCATCGAGCCACCGTTTTCGGCTGCATCAGTCTTCGCATGCGCTGCTCCTTTTCAAGTACCAAATTCTCCATCCCCTTCGGTGCCTGTACATGTTCGGCGGACGGTTTGATATCCACGCCGTCAACTGTCGAACGGGCGTGGCGCTTGGACGAAGCGGGCGGGGCAACGCGTTCGTAGAAGAGCAAAAATGCATGTTGCGCAAGTACGTCGTTCAGCGAGCAAGGCCGGACGGACTCGTCGGATATTTGCAGCCAGTCCGAAGATGATGAAGCGTTTATAGTTGGTACCTTCAGGTCAAGGTCTGATGGCGCCCTCCATGCGCCAAGATCCGGCCGCCGACGAAAGGCGATGTAGTGCCCAAAATGGTGGCCGCCGAGGTGCACGACGACGGACTGGAGACGAAAGAGGTGCTGTATGCGCTCCTCTACCGACAGCTCGACAGCGCCAGCCCACTGCCCACCGGATGCAAGCGGGGGCCTGTCCACCGCGTCACAACGGCTGATCGGCTCGTCGGCCGCAACGCTGAGGCGGCCGTTGGTAGTAAACGGTCGGAGGTCGAGAAATTCGCCAAAACGCACGCTCGCATTGTTCTTTGTCGCACCAAAAGAGCCATAGTAAGACGAGCGATTGAGGTGGATGACAAGAGTGTGCGACGCGCGCGCGATCATCACTTGTTTGGTTGACGAAGGTGATGGTGTGCGATCGAGCTTGATGCCTTCTAGCAGACCCGACCTCATCGCTTCGTCTTCATGCATCCGCATTTGTATCACCATGTTTACGCACGCTTCTGCCTTGCGTACCTCTTTTAATCGTTTCTTCTTTGATGCGGATATACTTTCCCCTTTTGGCAGAGAGCTCCCTTTCGCTTTTGGTTTCGACTGCTCACGAGAAGCACGATTCACCAACGCTTTGATCGGCCCAGTGGCAGTGCCTTCCAGCCGTGCACAATCGGCGGCCAAGGACTCAGCGGTCCGGCGCATGCTGCATGCATGACACACCCACTCTACCTCCTCCACCTCTGTCCATCTTGCCAGACAGTGCTCGAGTGTGCATCCATACGCAGGCACACTCAAGCTCAGCTCTTCGAAAGCATGATGTCGGATGGCTTCTGTATAACCGCACGTGTAGCAGCTGGTTCGTTGCGCCGTCAAGCCGCGAAACGAATTCGATGGGTCCTCTCTGCTAGGAGGCTCCTCGAGAAAAGCGAGTGGCAATGCGGCGCGCAGACCGCCGCGCGATAGGCGCAGCACCTCTGCTCGATATGCTTTTACCGTGCTCAGCTCATCATCGATAGCGTTGGTGAGCAGCACCAAGAGCTCATGCGCATCCTGCTGTTGATGCGCTCCAACAAGGCTGCGCGTGCCATTCATTAGCGATACCTGGCCGAGGGCACGCGACACATCGCTCGGGTATACTGCTGAAGGCTTGCATCCGGGGGTATTGAGGACTAAATAGGTGGGTAGGTGGTTGCAAAAAATCAGTTACAGAACATGCCCATTTGCCTACGTGGCTGGAGTTGTTGCGCACCTGAGATCATGTCGTGCAGGGCGTCTGTCACTGGCGTGGCCACGTCCCAATTTTCAGCCAGAGACATGATGCCTTCTAGGTATTCGTTCACGCCTTCGACGCTGGCAAGTGACTGCAAGACCGAGTTGAAAAAGCAAGTGTTTCCCGTATTGTGCAGGCCCGGATGATGTTGTAGCGCTTGTGTGAACACAGTCTCGGAAGAGCGCCCGGCCTTTGGCTGGGCTCGGCGCAACCCTGATGCGCCGCGAGGCCGCTTACTGGCTCTGACGACCAGGGAAGCATGACTCGGGTCTGCAGGTCTGCTTGAGTGCCTCCCCAGTGTGAACCGATGAATGCGAGACGTGACCTCTGTACCGAGGCCAAGTCCCGCTGAGACGGGAGCCATGGTCTCAGACAACAGCCAGTGAGCAGCTTGGCCGAGGAGGTAGAAAATGGGTTGGACTTGTTGCTGTAACTCTTCAATCACCGACTCACTGTCTTCGCAAAAAATGAAGAAACCAGCGCTGAATATAACCACAAGCAGAGTGGCACCAATTATGGCCTGAGTCTGGAGATCAAGGGATAGCGGGAAGATGCCAAAGAGAGGATATGGCAGCTTCTGGCCCGGCTCGACAAGGACGAAGCCACTTTCGGCGGCTGCGACAGTGGTAATCGTTGCAAATGAAAGAGTTGCGATGCAGATCGAAGGGACGGGTGGAGAAGAGGGCATCGTTGCATAGACGCTGAGGCCGCTGTTGAACGTTTGTCAGCTTTGCAGCCGCTCCATCGTCAACCCAGTTCCTGCATGAGTGCGCGATTGCATGTCTGCCTACTCTGCACAAGGATGAGAGCGCTCACACTATGTCGCACTCTCGCCCATACAAAAGCCCAACGTTACTAGCGACCAAAGTGCCATTGAGCGTCAGGAAATCAATGTGGCCAGATTGAAAAAGTCGGAATGAAAGTTGTGCCCAGTCGGCGACACGTTGACCCGTCATTGCATTATATTTCTTTCTTTTCCCCTTGAATTTAGACTTGCCTTTCTTTCTCTTTCATTTGGGAGAGAAACGATTGGATGAGCGTGTGCATTTGGAACAGCAATTCTACCTATAGCATATCTAGCTACCGTGTTCTGTCCAGCGATTCGTCCCCTTCCCCCCTAAGCAAAGGGTGCATATCCGGTTGAGCGATTTAAAGCAGGATGACTTCCTCAGTAAGGACGGCATACTCGTCACTGGTGGTGTTGGTACGTGCTGAAGGGTCACTTAGTCATTTTTTGTTACTGACTCGCATCTCTGCGTTTTGCTATCTCTCTACCTCTATCCGTAGGTCGCAGCAAGTGGGAGCCGATCAAATGCATCTACGCCCCTGCAAGGCTACGTCAAGCATGTATTTGGTGCTACGGTGGAAGAGGCAGAAAAGCGACTAGCGAGGGACACAGAAAAAGGACGACGGCTCCGCGATTTAGATTTATTCTTGCGAAGTAAGAAGACCCATGCTGTCAGTACCAGAGGCCTTCGAACGTGGGCATCGGGCTATGGACAACTCTGATTCCGGTGTCGTGCTTTTCGCTGGCTTCTAGGAGCTCCTGGTGCGCTACAATCCGACTCACGATTTAACAGAGCAAGAACGAGTGCGTATGACAGCGCGACGAGTTGGTTTGGACGTGCCCGACGAATATCGGGGTGAAAGCAAGTCATGACCCGTTTTGTACTTTATACAGCAACGTATTCTTGCTTCCCTTTACTTCGCATTGTGGGAGTCATCGTTTTCAAGGAGTACATGGTACGAGTACATTGTATTATCGTAGAGTTGAAAGAGTCCATGTGCGCTGGTATATGGCCGTCCTATTAGCGGCGCAGTAAAAGGTATGTAACGCAGTCAACAAACGTGTTCAAGCGATCGGAATTCCAGGCTCGGTGTGAGCGGATGCACTCACATTCACCTCCAGATGCCACCCCACTTACGATGTAAACGTAGTTGCGCTACTGATGCGCCTTCGCACCTAAATACTACGATACCATTCCCATGCTTGACTTAGGGAGTGGATAGGAAAGCGAATGAAGGGGTGGGGGGGGGGGAGGTTGGACGTGAGAATCAAGGCCGCATCGAATAGCGAAGAGCGAGACACGTTTTTCAGCACTCCCATGAGCGGCAGGACGCAGCAGACCCAGCTCGCAGCACCCTTGAGGCTTCGAAACAAATCCATCAAGATGAACTACTCGGGAAGGAGGGTGAAAAGGCAGGATGAGGCGGTGGAGGGACGTAAAAAAGATACGATGTTCTATGCTCGCATGTTTGTGGTGGGACGGGGAGTGTCACGCTAGCGCCATTCACTACGGTTAAAGTGGTACAATAAGTACATCGGCAGCACAATACCACCATAAAACCCATACTGAGGTACATACATGCTACGAGTAAATGGGCAGAAGTACATAAACTGAGGCCGATGGGATTCGAGCGTCGAGCGTCCAAGTTCCAGGTCGAGCCCCATAATATACATTATTGTAATGCTAGTATCATATTGAGACTCGAGTATCGAAGCCTGTAGTAGCCTAGGATGAGGTGGGAGGTAGGCGGCGTTTCAAACACCTCTTCGGCCAGCAGCCCACTTTTGCAACCAGCTGCTCTGAAATATGCACGTCCACCATAGTTAGCGATCAACAGGTCACCTGTCAGCAGGGGCCGTAATAAGAATAGGCCGCCATGTACATGTGGTTGTACATTACTCAAGATGCACGATTCCTCTGACCACTACATGCATTAGCACCCCCCTAGGCGTAGTCTGTCGCCTGGTGTGGCGTGTGAAGTGTATTTATATCATGTGTACCTTTTCTTACTGTGGTTCTACGCCCATGCTAATTGCTTCCACTTTCTTCTTACATATGGAGGTGACCTTCTGGTCCACCAAAAGTGTCAATTCATCAGTAGTGGTAAACGCACGGTATTCACACTTCCAGCCATTACACAAGCTTACACATCATATTACCTCTACTTAATACTTTGGCCAGCATGTGGTATATGATAGAGCGCTACATACATGTGAATGAATAAGGACATTCATACAAACGTCGACAAGAACAAGGGTGAAATGAATGCGCCATTTCAAGCCGATCTGGTTTAAGATTGCCTTTGAAACACCTTGCCGGTGCACTCTACGCATAATGCCAACTCTGCTGATTGAGCCAAAGCGTTACATGGAGCCTGCTGAAACCTGCTGGAGTTGGAGTATTGGAGTGTATGATTGTTGACATTCGACAACGCCAATTCGTTGGACCGTATTCATACAATATCTCCTTTGGTGAGGGTGGGGGGCAATCGAGGAAAGTGATGGAGTGTTCGTCATTCACACAGCGGATGCCGGACGGCGCCTGGCAGCCGGGGGAACGCTCCCAACAGCTTAAAATTAAACAAGGCCCTAGTGCCAATGACACTAGGGTCTACGGATACGCAACACAGTTGATTGCAAGTCAACACCAACAACACTCCACAGTCCACAGTGCCTACACGCAATTGCATGAGTTCATAACTTCATGACATGTTACGACGCCTACGTATTCAAATATAGATAGTTCGCAGACTCATTGCATCGCAGATCCTGGAGGAAGTACTCACATTCGTGAGTCATTCCATACCTACGGCTGAGCATACGAGCACGCCGCGCGCATACAAGCCAGTGACGATAAGGGTGCCTTTCCCTTTAGTACTAGGGTCCCAAAGCGCTGTTGCCCCAGTAGCAACGCCAAAGCCGTTCGCCTTGACGAAGCCTTTTTGCGCCTGATAGAGCGTCTTGAAGAGCCATCGACTGCTCTGCGTCATGGTGCGTTTTGCAGCGGGCACCTTGACGCCATCCTGGAAAGCGCGCCAGTTGGCCAGGTCCATCTTGCGCTCGGGTGGTGGCGGCGCAGCCGGTTCCATTGAGATGGACCATGTACCCGACTGCTTGTCCAGGTTCGTAGGGTCACGGGCGAACGAGAGCAGCTTCAATGGGTGAGGATGGCCCGAGGCAATCAGTTTGGCGCCTTCGAAGAGGTCCTGGTCACCGCCAGCCGAACGAGCGCGCGTCCAGAGTGGCTGCGTAAAGTCGAGATTGTCAATCACCATGGGCGTATGTGCCTTGTCCACCAGCTTGAGCTCCTCCAGCTTCCCCGTCGCGCTGTCCCTGACCGGCGAGTACAGCCGGATAGACGGGCTGCCAGTCTCGGCGACAGCGATGGTCTTTCCACCAGGACTTACGGCGATGCCATTGGCGAATCCGATTCCTCGCGCCACAATCTTGCCAGAGGTGTGCGGCGCGCTCAGGTCGACGACAGAGACAAAGCTCGTGGGGATGCCCAGGAGGGTCTCCAGGTAGCTCAGCACCGTGCTCACGATGGGCACAGAGACAACGGATGCGACGTGTGGGCCGAGGAAAGACCCAAAGACGTGGGAAAAGAGAAAGACCAGATGCGTCCGTGGAGGCGGACGCGACGGGAAGAGGTGATCATTTGAGATCAATAGCGTCTTCTCGTCTAGCAATGCGACCGCGTTGGCCGAGTGTGTCACCAGAGGATGAGTAAAGGAGCGAGTAACTACAAGGACACAGCGGTAAGGTCAGAGAAGGGGGTCAGTAGTCCTGATCTGAAGTCTCTTCGATACTCACATTGTGCAGTCCAGCCAATGTCGCGCTTTCCGGCCTTAAGGTCAAATGATTCGACAGTCGTGAACAGCTTTCGATGATTGACCACGTACAAAGTGTACTCGCCGTCTGCCTTTTCGTGAACGTGCATTCCGAGGGGATGAAATTCAATACCAGCTGGTAAGCCCTTGATGTTAATGAGGTTCGGGTTTTGCGTGCCTTCGATGTAGTCCCACACCCACAGTGCGCCTCTGGGGTCCGGGTCTTGCAGCAGGCCCATAACAGTGTTCCATCGATGCCTCCCCGGATCGCACGCAATGATTGCCACGCCGCGCTCAGTAAGGAGCTTGGCGTCTTCGCAGTACGCCAGCGCTTGCATCGGGCGATCATGGTGGTCTTTTGTGCGATTCCACAAGTCTGGTTGGGCGACGTTGAGGTTACGGCATTCCAGGCGCGTCTGCGGTGGCAGGCCGGCGCGCAGAATCGAGTCGGGCGTCGATGGGCGCACAAAGATGTCTGGCAGTGTGTGGCTCCGCACCATCCATAGAATGCGAGGTAGGAAGAGGAAGGCGACCAGAGGGACGAGCGCCGCGAGGAATAGGTTGCGTTTGGAATCGAAGAAGTACGCCTCCGGTCCGAGCACCCGCTCGGCCAGCGGCTCGTCTTCTTGCTTCCCCTTGGCCCGGTCGGCCGTGCCGGCCGTTGAGTCACTCATATTAGTCGACGGTTCTGTTCTCTCCAGAGTCCGGCTTGGATCTCCTCTTGCCAATCCACATTTGGCTCTTAAAAGGGATCTGTTCAAGAGATCGATGGAATATCATATCTACGCGTACATATTGGGGCCCATAGAGCAGCAGGTGAGATGACGCCGTATCCAGGCGCGCTGCCTCACACCCACGCCAACGCCAAAATCTGTAAAAGCTCCATCTTCCTCTCCATCCTCATGCAAGCCAACACCTCCATCGCCCTGGATTCAGCTGGCGAACAACGATCGATGTGCTCGTCTTCAAGTTTATCCCCGATTCCCAGGGCACAGCCTTGTCCACAGCGCGAGCGCGTCGCGGCAGCGGCCATGCCCCCGATAAAACGCGAGCCCGACCTTAGTCTCACCGGTTTTGAGGTCGCGCCACTACAAAAAGATCTCAACGGTCCAGCCGTTGCAACTCGCCGTTCGTGCTCGGCAGTGCATATGTACGTACACACATCGAGATCGTCGGCAATTTTGAATACCAAGCATGAACCATGAAGAGCCATGGAGATTTTTCATTCCTCTGGGGTCCTCCACCACTCAGCTCCCTGTCCGCCTTCAAGCGCGTGGCGCAATGTGCATGATGCAGGGACGCCGCACTCTTTGGCAACAGGAAACACACTTTCAACATCCGCTCGCTCTCCGTGCTGTGATTGATGATGGTACGTATTCCTGCAACATGACGGTATGCCGCACAAATATCCGAGCATTGGGCCCTTCCCCACGTATGAATGGAGCTCCATGGACAACATCCAGACTATCTGTGACTTTTTGTAGGCGCTGAGCAGATAGAACTTCCACGTCCCATCCCCACACGTCGAGGTCCGGTCCCTCCGGGTTGACAATGGTTCACCTGCTATTGACTTCCACGAAGGCTCCTGCTTAGGTCTACAGGAAATAGCACCCCCTTCCCTCTGTCGAGCGTATCAAGTATCCAGTAGACTTTCATCTCAGTTTCCAGCCATGCAGCATAAATTTCCGACCACTGTCAACACCGACCCGTCATACACTACCCAGCAGATGTCCGTCGAGCAATATCTTTTGCGAGTCACGTATCACTGACCTGCTTCAAGCTTCATGCCATCAACAACCTCGTCCGACGGGCTTGTATAGGTCAGGGAACATGCTTTTCCACGCGCCAACGGCCCTGGTAGCGGCCTTGCTAGTCGCACAAGGCTCGCAGGCGCAGTTCAACGCGCTCTCAGGACAGATACCTATGTCCTACATTGTCGAACTCGATCCACACTTGACGACGCTAGACACCTTTCGGTCGCTCGCCTCAAGCAATTCGGCAGCGAGCGGGGTCGCCTCAACTTCAGCTGGGTGGGGCGCGACGACAGCCGACGGCAGCAGCGCCCCCGGGGCCGGCGTGGAGGGGAAAGCGCCCGGGACTGGTTTGTCGCCGGGTAATCCCAGCGCTCTAGGAATCTTGCCGATTGCCAATAGCGGCATCATCAACAGGCCTATCCCAGTTCCCTTTGGAAATTCCAACGGCAGCTGGACAGATAACCCCAAGGAGCAGCTGGGGAACGCGGAAGGGAGCTCGGAGATGCCTCTCGACTACGCCAATCCACTGTCGGACGCCGACATGGAGATGGCGCTACCAGGACAGGAGCGCTCGGATGGTGATTCGGAGAAATTCGATTCGAGGCGCTCTGCCGCTGCTCGCGAGCGGCGCTGGTGGAAGAAATGGTGGGCCAGGATGTTACCAGGGAGAGATGCGGATATAGGCGATGCGGATGCGCAGCAAGTAGCGGCCAACTTCATACGGCGGGCGCGATATAGGCGCTCGCAGCAGCAAGACTCAACGCCAAGCTTCTACTTTTCCATCCGGCAAGAGTTCCAAAACGAGCAGCTCTTCTTTGGCCTGTCCGTATCGCTCGAGCGCGCCTCGGATGCCATCATGCTTGCACAGATGCGCGGAGTTAAGTCTGTCACGCCAATCACGTTTGTGCGGCGGCCTCAACCGTATGCGAACAAGGTGCAGTTGGCGACCAAGCCGAGTCCCAAGCAAATCAGCGAGCATTTTAGCTCGCTCAGCGCTTGCGGGGTCGACAAGGCCCACGCAGAAGGCATCAATGGTACGGGTATCAAGGTCGCAGTCATTGACACTGGCGTCGACTATACTCACCCTGCCCTTGGTGGCTGTTTTGGCCCCACTTGTAAGGTGTCCTTCGGGTTTGACTTTGTTGGTGACAGCTATGATGGATGTGAGCCATTCTTCGAAATGTCTTCCATTGCTTTTTTGCCTTTGCTGAGATCACGCTTTCCTCCATCTCACAGCGAATGACCCTGCGCCTGACAGTGACCCTTTGAGTCAATGCGGTCCGCACGGGACACATGTATCAGGAATCATCGGCGCGCAGGACAAACGCTACCACCTGGTCGGTGTCGCACCGGGCGCAACGCTCGGCATGTACCGCGTCTTTGGCTGCACCGGTGGCACGGCCGACGATGTCCTGATGAAAGCGATGGAGACGGCCTACGAAGACGGCGCCGACATTATCTCCATTTCTATTGGCGCGCCTGCAGGCTGGACCGAGTCTCCCACGGCCAAGGTGGCCTCGCAGATCGCAAAGAAAGGTCGCGTCGTCTCTGTCGCTGCAGGCAACGATGGCTATGCAGGTATGTTCTTCCCCAGCACTCCTGCGGTTGGCTCGGATGTCATCTCCGTCGGAAGCGTGGACAACGCTTACTACATAGGTTGGTAAAATATTTATTACGGCCCGTGTTCACCTTTCCGCTATACTCCACTGATGACGCTTTCTTGATGTTCTTACAGTCTTCAACGCCACGATCTCCGGTGCAAGTACCGGATCTGTCGTGAGTGTTGGCATTTACAATTCAATTTTTTCCATCTGCGCACACTGACGCTTCCTCGCGCTTTGATCAGCCATATTACTCAGCACGTCCTCTTCTTATCCCACCGTTGTCGCTGTATGCGACATCATTCGACACTACCGTTACGAGCGATGCTTGCGACCCGTTGCCAGATTACACGCCGGACCTAGGCAAGGCGATCGTTCTCACCAAAAGGGGAGGGTGCTCGCTCGAGCAAAAGTTCCGCAACATTGCAGCGTACAACGGCAAGTATGTCATCATTTATAACACCAACATTGCGCCCGTCTATATTGAGCCAGCCAATGGCATTCTTAAGTCTGCGATGATTGGCGCAGACGACGGAAAATGGGTGAGTTGTCGCGCAAAGGTGTGATACAGTGGAGGAAGATGAGTTGACTAATCGCCCAAACATCGGCTCGCAGCTTGTCGATCAATTGCAGCAGGGCCTGGCCGTAAAGATGGCATTCCCTGATAGCCCGGTCCTTGGGGTGGCGAACACTTTCACCGGGGGAACAGTCTCTTCGTTTTCATCTTACGGACCAACATTTGACATGTCAAGTCAGACGGACCTGGCAGCTCCGGGTGGGTCGATTCTCGGACTCTGGCCCGTACCGCTGGGTAATTACTCGATCGTCAGCGGCACGTCCATGGCGGCGCCTTACATTGCTGGCGCTGCCGCGCTCCTCTTGCAAGCTGCGCGTGAAGGCAGAACCAGTCTGTCCGAAAGTGTCATGGAGCGCTTCCGTAGCACTGCCATGCCAGTCTTCAATGCGACCAACTCTTCGCGTGCATTCCTCGAGACCGTGGCAAAGCAGGGCGCCGGTCTGCTTCAGCTCAACAATGCCATACATTACACTACTCATGTGCGTGATGGTATCAATTCAAACTGGATGTTCTGACAGTGCTCGCTAATACACGACGCATTTAGGTCTTCCCCTCCTTGCTGTCATTGAATGACACCTCATCAATGGGCAAGGTGCAGTCTTTCACGATAGTGAACAATGGGGACTCACAAATGTCGTACAGCATCACCCACGAGCCCGCAGGAACGGCGTTGACCTACCCTAAAGTCAGTATACTCCGTAAACATCACACAGGAGCATCCTTTGCTGACATGGTGTCCTGTCTCAGAATTCGCCCTATCCTTTCGCCGGTCCAGTGCCACTCGTGGATGCCCATGCGTCCGTCAGCATTACCCCGATGACGTTGTCGATCGACCCAGGAGAGAATCAGACGATCCAGGTGGTATTCACCCCCCCGTCCGGACCTTCTCCTGACCCTAGCACATTTCCTGTCTTTTCTGGCTTCATCAAAGTAGCCAGCTCACCGCTAAACGAGTCGCTCACAGTCGCGTACCTTGGGCTAGCAGCTAAGATGTCCTCCCTCAAGCTTCTGGACACTGGCAACGGCGTTACAAAGAATTACCCTCTCCCAGCCGTTCTTGTTGGGAGTACCGGCAAGATTCAGCGGCTACCGCGGACGTATACTTTTGAAAATGGCGATGTCCCAGTCATGCAATTCCGACTAGTAGGCGGCTCACGAAGCGTCAAGGTCGACCTTGTCGAAACGGCTACACAATCAGTTGTCGACAATGTCCCCTTATTCGCCAGCGGCTCCCGCAATATGTTGGATACCTCTATGCTTGCAGGAACTGGGCTGCTCGCTTATGCGGGCAAGGGGGGCGCATACACCCTTGAACCTGAATCCACAGACCACACCTTCATCAATTTCGCTTCGGAAAGTGAACCTTTAGGAACACGCGGCACAGCCTCGAACACAATCAGGCCAGCGAGTAGTGCCGGGCAGGTGGCGTCTTCTTCTTTCTTGCCAAGGAATACGATGGACCCAGACTATGGTATCTATGCATTAGCGTGGGATGGAACTGTCGACGGTGTTGGAAAGGTGAAACCTGGCGACTATCAATTACATCTCAAGGCACTCAGGCCGGGTTACGACATACCGCAGGACGGCGGCAACTCGACCTCGTCTACTGCCGCCATGGACTCGGATGGCTCGAGTCCTTGGGAAGAATGGTATTCTCCTATTGTGAGAGTACGGTAATGCTGGAAGCGCTGGCCGCTCCAAACATGACGTGTATCAATAATATTAATGCGAGTTGTAAACAAGCCGACGTAGATAATGCTATTCAACAAGTTCTAGATGCTCAAATTCTATCTTGATCAGCATGCGGTCTTCGATTTGAGTGGCTAAGGCACGCTCGCGGATTTAGATGATCCATTCAACACGAGCAATTTCTGACATGGCTCATCGGGATGCAGGACATTCTTCGGAGGCACTAGGTTCTTACCGCGAAAACTCTACGACTGACTCAATGCGATCTCTCTGAACGCTCAGAGCTGCTAGAGCCAAGTCTAGCGTCGCCTTTCCTCGATCATGTATATTCAAAATCGAAGAAGGCGCGAAGGCAAATACGAGCTGAAGGTTCAGCATGCACTGCGAGAGATTGGTCTCGCACAAAGCAGCCTCTAGTTGCTCGAGTATATCCTCTGGCTTAACCGTCCTGAGAGCGTCTCCTGTCCCCGCCTGAGGCTGTTCGATAGCGAGCACTGCATCCAAGTTGAGAGGAGCCTCTGTCACTTTGTTTACGTCATGCATGGAGAGGACTCGATTTGTTCTGTTAGTGGTTACGAAGCTAAGAGGTCGGAAGGACGCCGAAGTCCGAGAGCTGGTCGTGCCTCGCCCTGTACGTTTGTTTTGTGTGTCTGGTGATGAAGATGGGGCTCTGTTCTTTCGCAACATGAGCGAGGTAGCAACCAGCAACTGCAAACTGTGCACGGCTTTCATCTTGAGATCTGGGCTTGCGTGTAATTCAATGCACCGGAACAAATGAACGCGATCGTCCTCCTTCAATAGGCTTTTGGGCGTGGGGCGCAAACGAGCCAAATGACTTGAGTCGGTGAACTGTTCTGAGGCGTTGGAAATTCCAGCTTGGCTTTCCATTAAGAAAAAGCCGGTCGCACGCATCTGGGCCTTTTGAAGGAAAGTCTCTAAACCTGTGAGTGTTGGCGGTCGGTGCTGCTCCTTGCACAGCACAGTTGCAGTGCATGCGCCTTCTTTCAGGACCACAGCTGATGGTTCAATTGAGAGAGCCAGTGAGGAGGCATTTTTGAGAAATGGCTTCGCAATAACAGCCTCCGGTGACCATCTGTGCAGTGGTGCGATGTATCAGTTTTCCGGCACAGTCCGCTCGAGGGACATGATCTCACATAGGGTGTTCAAAAAACTCTGATGCATCCCCTGCGATCGCTCCAAAGCCTTGATCAAGAGCCATGATCAGACTCTCAGTCTCTTGGTCCAGGCCCATGCTTTGCACCCGTGCCTGCTCCATCCAATGCTTGATATCTTCCGGTTTGTAAAGCACCGGAGAAGTGAACCAAGTCGCACGGACCTTGCTTTCCGTCCGTATGGCAGTAGCATACCAGACCAAAGCCCGATGCTCGTGCAGAGATGCCATCAGATTCTGGGCAGAGCGACACAGTCTGCACACGCCTGAATCTGCGGCAACGATGGCGATCTCGGCTGCGCGCCGAAATAGTCGAAGCGCCGATTGTTTCTGGTAAGCGCTGAGCAAGCAGTCTTGAAGCAAGTCTCTGGAAAGGCTGCGATTCGAAGCCAGATAGGTCGAGGCCCAGTCCAACAGTACCGCGTCACTCCATTGCCGCTGGCGTCGACAGGACGACGCTTGAGCAGCAATAATAGTGGGCAGGCCTTTCCACTGATCGAGTGAGAGTTGCTGACGCGCGAGCAGGTAAACTGCTTTCCGGAGATCGCTTCGATCCTCAGGCGGAAGTTCTAGGTATTGTAACGCCTGAGCGCCAGATGCAAGCTGATTTGGCGGCTTGGCGATGTCGAAAAACCCTGCGCCTTGTGTCATGTTCAGGGGGACTTCTATCGGCGAGCCAATAGGAGATCCCCAGCCAGAGAAGACGCGCGAGCCACCTGGACCTGAGTTCGGCGTAAAGCTGGACAGCATCGTGGCCCCGGGATTACTAAAGCTAGTTCCAGACCTTTTTCTTGTCTTCGAGCCGGTCGCTCCTTGGCGTGTTGATGCTACGATGGAGCCTGTGGGAGAGATGCGAGAGGGTGGTTGTAAGGAAAGTCGCGCCTTTCCACCGTCAGCAGCGCAGTTGATAAAGAGCACCGCAGCATGGTGTGCGAGTCCCTGGGCAGCATTTGATAGCTCGGCCATGGAGCCAGATAGCTGAGGCAAAACTTTCGCAAGCGCAGAAAATTCCATTTGCGAGATTGTGAAACTGCGAGAGCCTGGGACAAGTCCCTCGGTCGAAGTGCGGGGCGACGCTGGTGTGGAAAAAAGAGGCCGCGAATCCGGAATCAAAGCCTGCAAAGCGCGACGGGATGCCGCTGAGCATGGGGAGCATGGCTGTGAAGTGATGGCTTTTGTGACAGCCGAATACACTGCCCTATGCAACGCTGCTAGCTGTTCGATGATCTCCGGGTCCGCGAGCCAAGTATCCTCCATCAGCTTGATCTCTACCCGCAAGCCCTTGTTTGCTGTTATATTGCTTGCCAGTGCCGAAAATGGTGTGTTACGACTGAGGGCGTATAGATCGCAAATCATGGCCCTGAGATGCCTGAACGCCCACCATCGCACCAGGATAAGCATCCTCAGTGAGCGGTGAGCTTCAGGCTCGGCAACGCGGCTGAAGTGGTCTTGAAGCAAGTATCGTGCCAGGGCAATAACTAAAGGAAGGCTCCGCGAAGCCGGCGCCGCATCAGAGCTTCTGACCAGTGCCTCAAGCAGTTTCTCGGCTGCGTGGTCGACAAGCTGGGATTCCTCAGCCGCAGCTGCTGCTCCCGCCGCAGGGCTGCCGCAAGCGGAGCGAGATTGGCCCCGGAATGTGGCCACAGTAGGCGTGCTGACTAAAGTATTATTTGGAAGCGTGCGGATGCTAGCGTGGCGCGTTCGGACAGGAGAATCCGGCATCCCTTCACTCCCGTCCGCCAGGCGTCTCAAGCTTGACTCTGTGTGAGTGCCGACTGAGAAAGTTGAGAGATCAGACACACTATCTTAGGATGCGCTCTGTTCTTGCCGACTCACAAGATGTATTCAAAACAGACCTTCCACCTTCACTTCCATTGTGGTGTGAGCCCTCGCTGCTGTTCGCTTCGCCACTGAGAGCTGGCTGCTGCAGCGCTAAGCTAGCGCTGAACTTGGGTGCGACGGGCGATGCAGGTGTCAGAAAATTGCAAAGTCCTTGCGACATGGAAGATAGTGCTGATGGTCCAGCAGTTGGTTTGTGAATCGCATCATACAGCACCAGCTTCTTGGGCTTGGCCTTATCAGGGCTAAATGTCTCGGTTGCCTGTTTTGAAGCTGGAAACGATGCATTCCCTGTGCCGATGGATGACAGCGAAAAGGTAGCTGCGTCTTGAAAGGTCGACCACCCCTCTGCAACATTGCTATACCACTGGGACGCGGTGCTTGCAAAAGTTGCCGAAAGCGAGCGTGGCGAGATGGCGTCCGGGCCATCGGTGTAATCATACGTGCCATTTTCGCTTTGATCCGAAGCTCTCACACGCCTCTGAGCAGCACGCTGTTTGGATGCTTTGATGTAGGTAAGAAGCTCAAGTTCAAGAGTCGGTGAGGGACACACCAAGTTGTGCGCTGCTCCGCCAATGTTTTCACTGTCAATGGCATCGCCGCTCGACAATGCCCCCGGGAGACCATCGTATCCTGCACCGGCAGGGGGGGCATCTACATCGATACCCAACGCCTGCAGCGCGTCAAGAAACTCCAGGAGGAACGACTCGACCTCGCTCTTGCGTGCACATGACGGCCCTAAGAGCGGAACTGCATCGCTGAAGATGGCCTTGGCAAACGCAAACACACCATTCGCACCGTGGTAATTGTGGATTGCGTGCAGAAGAAGTTGAAGCGGGCTGCGAAGGGAGTTCTGGGGACTCAAGGGTGACGCAGTGTCGCTTCCCTGCGAAGCGTCGGCCCTGATCGTTTCGACGCCCGGAGAAGCCGATGGTCGTCGTGTACAGGAAGCTAGGGCACCACTTTCGGACTGCAATATTGACCGTGCGGTTCCGTCGAGATCGTACAGCACATCTTCCAAAGAAGACACCATGCCTTGAGCAGCATTTTTGGATAAAGCTTCGAGCCAAGACTTGGGCGATTCCATCAGGGTTTCGATGGTTTGCTCCATGTGATGGATATAACCCGTGACCCCTATATCGCTGGCACCGTGGTCGCGGAGGGCTATATGCCATCGTGAGGGCAGCGAAGCCCAGCCTTGGGCCCTGTCTATGATCCGGTCCCAGCCCTGCTCGAAGCGATGGAAGCTCTGTTCGTACTCCTCGCCTGCTTCCTTGGCACGAGTGTGCAATGCTGACAGCTGAGCGTCCGGCAACGACGGCAAACGTTTGCGAAGCGCGTCTTCTGCATGGAAGCGCTCATTCTCCGAGCTGCTGCTACCCTTCATTCTCCCTCGAGCGCGTCTGACCTCGAGATCGGGCGCCGGCACGATGGCTTGGCTCAGCGCACAGATGGCCTCGCACTGTTTCTGAAGGCGCTGCCTCAGGTTTTCGAGCTCAGCAAGCCAAAGCGGTGCGATCGCGACGGCATGCTGTCGCTGCTGCGCAGTCGCTTGCAGTTGAAGCGTTAGTTGCACGTCCGAGGCGTGCTTTTGAGCATGCGCGCTGATGCTTGCCAGCAGCTCAGCGTCGGATAGATGTGTCAAGGCTGGGTACGCCTCGGCGAGGCTGTCGCCCGCGGCGTCTCTTCCGAGGTCAAGGTCGTCCATGGCTGGGGGTTTCCTGTACCCGCCTCAGGGAGCGCCCAGTCAGACGAAAACGAAGGGATCGATTATAGCTTCTGTCCTTCGATGCAATCAGTGGTGCGCGCGGATCAAGATCTTCAGTGGAAACAATCCATCTATCGCTCTGAAGGCTTTTGCAAGCAACGCATCCTCTCAAGGACATGGGGGCAATGCGCCATCTCGAATCCCGGGAAACCTTAAAACCGGGAGTATATTCCTGAATTACGGTTGTCCACACAGGCACGACACCGGAATACATGCAGGTTCCACCGGAACCAGTCTCGGCAGGCCCCTGAGATACCCGTACAGATCTCAGATTCAAAGCTCACATGTTCAAAATTACCGGAATAATACGATACCTAGTGTGCGTCAGTCTTCACTTGAAACCAGGTGATCTCCTACGGTGGAGGGTACCCAACTTGGGTCAACCTGACCAACATCTCCTTCCACGCAGGCAAGCCCCATCATGCTCCAACTCGCCGCAGGGTCTCCTCTCATTGCAGACAAGCTCTCCTATCCCCTCTGTGTTCGAATTACTTTTGGGTTCGATGAATTATGAATGGCTTTCTTCCGCCTCGGCCAGCCTCGTCTCGCACAAACGTGTAGAAAAGTCGCCATATTCGCGGCGTCAGGCGGTATGGGTTGTCGAGCCGCTCGGCCGGCTCGCGTTCGAGCCCCTTGCACCAACGTATGTGCTTCCGCTACTTCATGGGAGTGCTGAGACGCTGAAATGGGCAGGGATGAAAGCGCAGCTTTGTTCATTGCACTGGCCACCTACTGCACATCACGGGCCTAATAGCTGCGCTTCTGCGTTGAACAAATGATTCACACTCTGTGCGAATCGAACGTGGACAATACCTTGATGTTCCGTCCATCATTTTAGCTGTATATACGCTACGTTACAATATCTTGGGCCTGCGCATTGTTGAGCCAATCCAGCGCAGGGTCTCCCAAGTGATCTGCAGATCAGAACGGCAAAAAGGAGGGAAAGTTGCTCAGACCTGTTAGCCTCCACGCACACCAACACGCAACAGCATAGACGCATTTGAACGACCTACCGTCGAAGTCTGCCAATGCACTCCATGCGCCCGCTCGCACAGCTTTTGCGGCTCCCCGTACGATCTCAGCGAGCTCTTTCTCTGTTCCGGTCCCAGTCCCCGGCGCCGCAGCATTCGAGGAGCCTGCAGGGTCGCCGATCGTCAGCGCGCGCGAGCCCGTCAATAGGCGCGGCTTTGGTATGTTGGTACTACTTTGCGCTATGGATGATGATGAGGTGGTGGGGAAAGACAATTGAATGAAGGGGATGAATGGTGACGAGGTCGGAGAGAGGAGGAGTGCGTTGTTTACCTGATGTTTGCATGCAGTGCGATGCATTAGTGGATGTTGCCTTCGATTATAGAGCGCTCCTTTACAAAGCTGTGCTATACTTACCAGGCATACCAGCGCAGTGCCAGAATGCGAACGGTTTGCGATCCGCTGAGCCAAACGGGTGGCAGCTGGGCTCAGTTCGCGGTCATTGACAGCGACTACACGAGCGGGCGCTTCATAGCAGCCAATTAAAGAAAGCCCCGAGGTGGAAGCGTGCGACTCAGCCTGTGAGAGTACAGAGTAAACGAATAAGGAGCTGCTTCAGTCAGTGCGACCATTTGCAGCGAGGACGCTCTCCAGGAAGAAGAGTGATGATAAATTGGCTAACCCACAAGCGCACAGCCCACCTCCACAACTGGACTGAGGGTAGTCCACTTGTGTACGAGCGGCACGATGTCCTCTACTACAATTGCAGCGTTACTGGTGGGCGTCTGCCTACCGAGCAGCAGTCCGAGCAGCGCTGAAGCGGGGTACTTGGCGGCATGCAGGGTGATTTTGGTGTATGCCTTTGGTGTCAGGATATAAGACTGGGGCGAGGATTGTGGCTGCGCCATGATCGATTGCTGTGATAGGCTTCCGGCCGTGAGACGATGTTGGTCACTTACTCGCAGAACAGGCGCTTTTCTGAAGCTGGAGCGTTGCCGTAGGCTGTTTCTCGCTGAATGCTACGACGTTGGCCGATCTTTTTGTTGTATCTTGCATGGCGATGGCCGATGCCATGTTCAGCTAGCTCGAGGTGTTCACATCATTCCGGAAGACACCAAGCAGTTCTCCAAGCGTTCTAGTTTGATATCCTCAAGCGCGTCACGTGCTCTCAGCTTATCTTTTCGGTGCAATTTGAATCGTTTACTGAGCGTCTACTCTCCCCCACTGAGCTCGCCATGCAAGTCACTTAACAAAGGCCAAACGTCGTGTAACATGCTTTTGATGTGGGCAGAACGCAGGGCACGGTGCGCTCTGAATAGCTAGGACAGCAGCAGCCGCCAGGTTTCTCTTCCAAACCTGCATCTGCATCTGCACCTGCACCTGAACCCTGCGATCCATGCACTCTGCATCTTAAGCTCCAATGGAGTACCGCCGAGAAGCACGCATCATGGAGCTCGAGTTCGTCAAGCGGCGCATGTTCCAATGCGGTAGACGGGTGAGTTCTGGATTAGCCATGCTTGCTCAAATCCAAAATGTCTGCCGGTGTCCGTTTTGTGCCATCTCGCATGACCCGATGGGCCGATTTATATGCCCGTGCACGTAAGAGGCCAATGAATCGATGCCGCTACCGTTTCTGGGATGCTTCATCAAGCTGCAAGAAGCGCGAAGCGGTGTCGAGCAGTGGGACAACTGATGAAAACCATGCAACTTGTCTATACCTCCTTCCCCCTGCGCGGGAAAGAGCTGCTCGTGAAGCGCATATGTGGAGAAGGTGAGGTGTCAAGCTTGGATGCTCAATTTATCGCAATTGCTCGCCCGTTGGTGAAGGAAGCAAGCGAAGATAGAGCTGGGCGAAATCGTTGCTGCTCTCATCGAAAATTATCAGTTATTAGTCCCAAGTCCCTCACGCTATTTCTGCACGCTCGCGGAGCACTTTCTGCGCCTGAACACCATTGAAATTCTGATCCTAAAGTTTGTTCCCTATTGTTCATCGATATGGGCTGCCGCAGCATCATGCCATCATCGGTGAGCACGTTCAGACTTCCAGGCTCAGTGCCTCCTGATCCACTGATCAGCGGCTCTTCATTCGCTCGGATTATGGAATTAACACCTGGCACCGATTTTTAAATCGCGTCGCTTCCAGAGAGACTACGTCAAATTGGGCCCATTGACCTCCTCATCGCTAGCAACACCGACCGTCTCTATGCAGCGAGAGGAAAACGGACGGCCCGAGTCGCGATGCTCTCCGACCTCTTGGCGCACACCCAAGCCGCATTCGCAGCATACAGCGCGGAGACGCGGTCGCCTGGTTCGCGCATGTTGATCAAGCTGTCCAAGGCCAAGATGCGAAAGGTGCATAGGCTCAGAAGCGAGTGGGAGCGTGCGCGCGAGACGGAGCGTGCTATACGGGACGCGAATGATGGGCTTGAACAGACAATTCAGCAGGCAGAGCAGCGGGTGCGTATGAGCTGCTTCCTTTCTACATTACTCGGACTTGATGATGCTGACGAGAGGAGCACACACTAAACTTTACTCTTGCAGAAAATCGTGCTCGAGCGCGAAAAGATCGAGCACATTGAGCTCAACGCGGAGCTGGAAGAGCTGTATGTCTCCATCTTCGGTCATACACCGTCATCGTCATCATCCCGCTTCTGGCCACGTCAAGCAGAAGCTTCAAGTGCCCACGCGATCAACCTGCTGACCGCGCGCTTGCTCGCGGCCGAAATAGGTCGTGAGAAGCGAGCGCGGGAATTTTTACTCCAGGGAAAGACGCAAGTGGAGAAATTGGTCAAGGATTTGCAAGCTGCGCTGCAACACTTCATTAATACGGGTGTAGCAAGTGGGTGGGGTGCCTTTGAAACTATTTTGGAGCCGAGTGTACTGACACCCGTCTCCGGCTGCACGCTTTGCGCTGTGACGCAGCGAATCAAAAGTATACCCGTCAACTGTTCATGGGTAACAGCACGCTCGGCACCGCCAAGGCGGTCACACCGCTGCTGCTAGCGGCCAAGACGTCAAGCGGTAAGCTGCACGAGCAGCACACGCATGCGCGCGTCATGCAGCCGCTCATGCAGGCGCTGCCCGCGCTCAACATCCTGGAGCTGCACCTGCTTCCGGGCCGCGGGAGTGCCAAGGCGGTCGACGAGAAGGGCCTGCACCGGAGCATCGAGGCAAGTTATGCGCAGGCGAGGCAGTGCGCCGCGCATGTCCGCCGCGAGGGCGAGCTGTCCAGGGCTCGCAGCAAGGAGCTTGAGGAGAGGGAGAGGGAGTTGCTGCGCACATGCGAGGCGAGTTTGGCTCATCTGCGCGCTGTGCGCGCGGACATTGTCGTACGTGTCCTGCACGGCGAGCCGAGCGGCGAGACTGGGAGCGAAGGTGGAGGCAGGAGAGGAGCGGAGAATGCAGGCGAGCCTCCGCAGCAGGCTTCGCTGGGCGAGCAGGATATCGATCGGGAGGCGCGCGCAGCGCTCCGAGCAATTGTGTGCAGCGCAGCGCGGCGAACGGCAGACGGGAGCGGCGATGATAGGGACGACCTGCCTGAGTAAGAGTACACCCTTTCCGCGTAGCTTCGGCTGGGTCTGCCTTAGAAGATGCTGGAAAGTACGCTCTGCAGCGCTTGGTCCCCTTCTCTCCTTTGCTTATTGCCACTCTCACGCTGCTTATGCGCATCCCCGGCTCGCTTCGGGTTTGAGCGCGGTGCGGCTGACTGCTGTTGTGGCACTTGGCGTGCATCCTTCAAGTCCCTGACATCCTTGAAGACAGGCGCACGTTGCTTAAACGTCCGTACACGTTTGCCGTCGCGTTCTGCTTCGTGCGGCACGCCAGTAACCTGCCCAATTTCACTGCCCTCCCCATGCTGTCCCCCTGCCAGCTGGCCCCCTCTGTCGGCGTCATATTCACGCTCACGCCTGCTCTTCTGAGCACGCCGCTCTGCTTTGTCCTGCATGATGCGCGCGCGCTCAACCTTGCGCAAATAGTCCTTCTGCTCAAAGGCGGACTGCGAGAGCTCGGTACGCAGGCGCGCGGTGCGTGAGGCGCGCTCGTTGGCTGTCACAGTGTGAGGGAGCGAATGAGAGGGCAGAGGCTGCGATCAGTGACAGAACGGGGGCTTGCCTGCGAGATATGCAGGTGTAAGCACTCACCAAGCTGCTCGGTCAGCATGTGCCACTTGTACCCCGGCAGGTACTTCATCGTCCACACGTCATCCTTGAACCTCTTGCTGTTGCGGCCCTTTCCCGGACCATTCTTGGAGCGCATGCTACTGCGCGTGACCGCCGCCGCGCCGATCGGCTGCGCATTGAGCATCTCTGCAACGGTCTTGGCGATGCGCTTGCTGCTGAACTCTACCCAGCCTTCGGTGAAGTGTGCGGTGGTGCGCTTGCCTGCATATTTGCATCCGCGTCGTGTGCACATTAATGCATCAGCACCACCAGGGCCGAACAAGAGCGGGTAAAGGAAAGAGACTCACGCTTCTCGCCAGCTCGAAGCGTCCCATCCTGCAAAAATATCCGCTCCACCTCTCCAAAGCTTCCGAGTAGATGCTTGACCTTAGGTACGGTCATGCCATGAGGCAAGTGCGAAATGTAGATCACGCCCTTTTTGCGTTGTTTGCGCTCGAAGCGCTCAAGATCTTCTTTGCTCAACGGTTTGAGGACTTTCAAAGTGGTGTCCTCCTCGCCTCGGCCCTGGCCATCGGCCTCGTCGTCCGAAGCGACATCCGAAGATGAACCCTCCTCCTCAGCATCCTCCTCCTCGGATGCAAGCTGAGACGCTTGCATGGAGCCAGGGGAAGCTTGCGAATCTTCCTCGGCGTCCTCTTGTCTTGTCTCTTTTCTGCCTTTCTTCACAGCTCGACTGACGCTGCTGCCGCTCGCGGCTGCCCTCGGACTGTCCCATGCGGACATGTCGAACCGCGGGTCCATCGCTGCAGCAGGGACAATCTCAGCTCTGTACCTAGGGCAGCAAGTGGCGCAAGCTTGCTCTTTCCTTGTGGCAGCGTCCGCCCGATGCAAGGAGCAAAATGTCAGCTGGCGAGAGTGATGGAAAGGGATATCGACACCTGCCATAAAATTGCATATTGAGGTAAGATCTGCATGCAAGAACAGGAGACGAGCTCTCCTTCCTCAAAACGCGAAACTCGAAACGACACAACCCTATGTTGATTACAACTGGATTTTCACACACATTTTTGTGTTTTTACTGGCTGGGTCCATCAACATTGCTCATGCTTCTGGAGATGCTTTCTTGCCCTTCCTCTTCCACAAGCTTCGAGGGGCGAGAGAGGCAGAGAGCACACATTCTCGTCACCGGCAGAGGGGCGCCGCGCCAGCAGAAAATACGAGAATGAACCCGTTGGGGACGTCTTTAACGATACAGCGATGGCCGGATCGGAGTGCATGTCGCGCCACGTGTGTTGACGTTGTGGTGGTACAAACGTCAAACAATGGGTCGACATGCTCGCCTCGACGTTCATTCTGATCACGCCCAATCGTTGGGCTTCCTCGTTGCTCACACCATGGCAGGATCCCATCTGCCCACCTTCTTTCTAGCCGTCTTACTTCGTCGACCTGGACCAGTCGGACGTGGGCCACGTCACTGATGCGGAGGCGCTGCAAGGCACCTGACCAGCCACCCTCTGACCAACAGCGACACCCCTTGAAGCTGCCGAAAGCCACCCAGATCGCAGAGGGGAATTTCTGATAAACGCTCGATGAGATCGAGGGCTGGTACGGAGGAGCTGCGGGTTCGCATTGTTCCGCTTAGGCGTAGCCCCTCTCGGAAAGCATTGGACCGAAGCTCCCTGCCGCAGCCCGCTACCCGACCGAACGGGCATCTTGGCAACGTTGACCAATGCATCTTGTGTTGGTGTTGGCTAATCAGGTCCGCTCTTCTACCCTTCTGCTTGGATCTTCCGCATCCTTATTCGCATTAGTGGGAAGGAAGGCCTGGGCCCGCCTGGTATATGTACTCGCCGAGGAATGCGGGTAGCATGCTTTTGCGTCTTTCTGCAAAGCTTATCCCAGATGTTTTATAGGTAATGGATGCATATGGTGAGATGTATTGTGAGTGTGATGACTCGAGGGCTGATGGCTACTCCATGTTCAATCCCCAAGGCACGACGAGTGGGCAGGATGTCGCTACCATGATGAACGCACTGAAATCATTTGTAGCACTTTATGGGGACTGGCCAAGCCGAGCAGACAGGGGCTCACACAAGTCTCAATGTTCCACGACCCGAGGCAGTGGACCTGCAGCTTGCTCTCCTAAATCTTATCACATTTCCTGCAAACCCCCATGGCGCATGAGATTGTGTTGACAAGAGCACCTTGAGGCACCGTGCTCTCGTCATGCATCGCGCGCATGACATGTTACTGAAGACCCGTCTATACGCAGCCTCCCGTGTTGCAAGGATATCAAAAAATTCACGCTTTGCATTCATCGAATGAAAGAGAGACTGTGTGCGCGGGTAGGAGAGAAAGACATGGAGTGCACCGCGGTGCACATACGGCAGGCTGCACCCGACGCTACCCCATGCCGGCACTGCTCCCTGCGCGCACACTACCATTACCACCGGCTGCCTCGAGCGTTGGATGAATGCCTGGTGTGCTTTGCTGCTGCTGCTGTTGTTGTTGCGCGTACGCGCGTCTCCCCGGCTGCTGATGCTGGTCGTACATCGCATGCTGTAGCGCTATAGGTGGAGGAGCAGGTATGCCATCCATTGCAGCATTCGCGCTTGCTCCTGGCCCTGAGGTCAGCGTGGCAGGCGCGTTTCCATCTTTTCCGCCGTTGCCGTTGGCTAGACCATACGGAACCGGCGCGTGCGAGTACCGGTGCTGGTGCTGCTGCGGCGGCGGCGGATAGAAGTCGTGTTGCTGATCGTGCGCGGACGCACTTGGGGGCCATGCTTGCCCGCCGATTGAGCCCGTTATTGCTGCAGCCGCAGCGGCTGCAATGTTCGACGTGGCGCCCGCAGTTCCGGCCGCTGCTCCTGCGCTGCCGCTGCCACTGTCACCACCACTGCTGAATGGCGCGCTGAGCGCATGTTGCATCGCCTGTTGTGAATGCGGATACGGATGCGAGTGCTGGTGATGCGCGTGCGGGTGATGCGTGTGCGGGTGATGTACGTGCGGGTGATGTCCGTGGCCGCCACTGGTACTACTGGTGCTGGGACTGGTGCTGCTGCCGACCGCATGCTGCAGCTGTTGTGCCTCTGCCTCGCGCTGCTTTGCCTTGGTTGAGCGAGGCTTCATCTTGATGCCTGCGCCCTGCGCCCAGCGATAGATGGCGCTTTCGCTAACGTGGAGGCCGTGCTTTGCTTCAAGCAGCTCGCGGACCTCTTTGGCGTAAATGCTCGGGCGCTGACGGAAGAGCTCTGCGACGTACGCGCGTGCCGCGTCCGTCGCTTTGGGTCTGCGGCCCGTGCTCTTGCGCCGCGGCTTGACGTGGCCGAGCTCGCGCTTGTCCTTAAGCGCGCGATACAACGTCGCGCGTGAGATGCGCCCGTTGCACGCTTGCGCAATCGTCAGGTGGCCCGCGAGTACCTGTGACGCGACGTAGTCCTTGAGCGCATCGTCGACTGTGTGCCCTGGCTCGCCCTTTTTGCGCGGCTGCCGCGGCGGCCGGCCCGGGCCCTTGCCTTTTCCGGCGCCCGTAGCACCGAGCTCGTTGATCAGCGGATCATCATCGCGATCCAGCATTCCGTCCAGCGCGACATCGCCTGCGGATGCCGCGGCGCGATGGGCAGTGGATGCCGCCGCAGCGGCAAAGCTGCCTGAGAGAGGCGGCGAAGACGATGACGCCAAAGCTGATGTCGAAGACTCGCCTTGGGCCTGCTGCTGTGTACCGGCTGCTGTGCCCGAAGTGTCGGCGGCGAACGAATCGGCGGGCGGCATGTACGGCAGGGGAGGGACGAGAGCTGGCGGTGGTGGCGCAGTCATGGCGGGCGTGGTCCTGGGGTGCGGGGTGCGCGTGCGCTTGGGATCGGTTCACAGGCGTCGCGTCGCGTCGCGTCCTTACGTCGATGCGATGCGGTATACGCGGTACATCGAAAGGAGAAGCGGACTCGCGCAAAATCGCGAGTCGTCGCTGCCATGCAACGGTGCGTTTCAAGGGAAGGGGGCTCCAGCCAAGCGCATGGCTTCTCGCAGCGAGCATCCAGCGTGAGGTCCCTCCTCTTCCTCGTACGACGACGTCGAGGTCAATTCTGACTGGGTGGAAGGGCGGCGGGATTTACAATCACTGTGCGGAACCCTATTCTGCTTTTTTGTTCCCTGGTGGTCGATGACGTAATAGGTGTCGTCCGAGCAGCGCCCCTTCGACTCGACGACATATATCCTCTGACAGACCGCGAGCACACCCCTGGGGAGCAGCCCGGACACATGCAGCGGACAAAGCCTGCTGCGGCGTCGACAGCGAGGCGAGGCGTTTCATCGTGTATGGTCGCACCTCCTTTCGCCGTTTAGGCTCTGTGCACACAAGCAACGGCCCAGCCAGCCAGCACACACGCACGGCGTCACCACCCGTCTGCCGGACGCCTCTGTCGGTCAGAGCAAGCCTGCCTGCCTACCTGATTTCCTCCCTGCTTGCCTGATTTTCTGAATACCTTCCAAGATGGGGAACCCATTCCCAGTGTCACTGTCGCAAGAATGTCGCAAGGCGGAAAAGATTCTCACCGATTTCATTGACCCTGTCACTGGTCTTGACGCCGTCGTCCCCCTAAGCGTGCTGCGCAAGGCCCAGGGGTTCGCCATCTTTAGCGTCTTTCGAATTGGCGCCCTCCTCAGCGCCCGTGCGGGTAGTGGCGTCGTCCTCGCCAAGGCTGAGGATGGAGGTACGTGTGGATCTTCCGGGATCTGGTTTGGCTGATTCCCGATTTACTCACACCTCTCCCAAATCCTCTCTCCTCCCCTCCCTCGCAGAGTGGTCACCGCCCGCCGCTGTCGGCCTCGGCGGCCTCGGTGGCGGCTTCAACGCCGGAGCTGAGGTGACTGACTTTCTCATAGTACTCAACTCCCGCGCTGCTGTGCGCTCGTTCATGGCGACCGGCTCGCTGCAGCTCGGCGGCAACCTATCTCTCGCCGTGGGGCCGCTCGGCCGCTCGGCCGAGGCATCTGGCTCTCTCTCTACCTCTGGCGGCGCGGCGGCTATGTTTAGCTACTCGAAGAGCAAGGGCCTTTATGGCGGCGTCATCCTCGAGGGGACCATCCTCGTTGACCGCGCAGACGCCAATGCCAAGGCCTACGGCAGACGCAGCATCACCAGCAAGCTCATCCTCAGCGGCACCGTCACCGTCCCCGAGTTTGCTCGCCCCCTGCTCAGCACCATCGAGCGCCTCATGCGCAACGGGGGAGCTGTCGGCGCAGGCATGCATGGCGACTTTCGCAACATGGGAATCGGTGCTGCAGAGGACGCCGTCGCTGGCGCGGCCGACGGAGCGCTTTACGACAATTTTAGCCGCCCTGTGTGCAGTGGCGTTGGCAGGCGCTCACGTCCTGCACGTGAGAACGGAGACAGCAGCGGCAATGCCAACCGGACCGAGGAATATAATGATGACGACGGTGGTCGCGTTTACCACGAGGAGGAGGGGGACTTCGGCGAGCGCGATTCGTACGACACCCCCTCCCGTCCCGTCACGATGGCCCGGCAGTGGTCGAACAGTGACCGGCAGCAAAAGAATGAGAACGAGACGCGTAACGTTGGAGCGTACGTTTTCGGCAGGGGCTCCGCTGCCCAGGACCAGAACGACCCTTTCGCTGACAACGCCGCGTCGACCAGCATTGGCAGGCGCATGAGCCCGAGCGTGTCGCGCAGCTACAACAACAGCGGAAGAAGCAGCAGGCAGCGCGCCGGCTCGCGCGCGGCGAGCGACTATGCTTGCGCAGACGCCGCCGCCGCTAATGATCCCGTCTGCCCGCCGTCTACGTCAGCTGCGTCATCTTCGTCGGCCGGCAGCAGACCAAAGCACCATCGCAAGGGGAGCAGCTTCAGCTTCCCATCCTTCCGCAGTGGTGGTGGCAACAGCGGAACAAAGAACTTGCGCACGACACCCACACCACCGTTGGCAAATTTCCAGTACGACTACGACGCGGACCGACAAGACGCAGATGTTCGCAGTCGCAATGCTGTTATGAACGTCAACACGGCGCACACAGCAGCTTCTTTCCCAGTGCAGTTCAACAACGGCAGCAGCTTCAGCAGTGGCGAAGAAGACGAGCAGTACTTCACGTCGTCGAGCCAGTACCACCACCACCACCAGCAACAGTCAGATGCGCACAAGCCGCTTGGTGCTTTGAGTTCCTCCTCCTCATCCTCCACGACGGAGCACTACAGCTGGGAAGAAAGCGATGGTGGGCGCGATCGTGAGCGCTACTTCGACGCCTTCGATCGCGAACTGCAGCAGCCCAAGTCAGCGAATGCTTGCTCGGGATATAACACCAGTGGCGGTGGTGTCGCCGACAAAAGGGCTACACCGACGCTTTGTTTGAACGGGGGCAGCGGCAGTGGGGGAGGGCGTGGTGATACGCGTGCGAGCCCCATCGCTAGCCGCAGCGCTAACAACACGTCACGCAGCAGCTTCAGGACTAGCAGTCGTGCGGATAGCCGCAGCGAAACGCCGATATGGGCGCGCAACTTGCATTTCGACGATCGCGTCAACGCCGGTGGGTATGCGAGGGGCTTAGCGGCTGCGCGGGGTCGAGATCGAGAAGAGGAGAGGGACGAAGAAAATGACCCGTTTTACCGCACGTACTATGAGGCGCGGCAGGAGGGTATGCGCAGGGACTTGGCGGGTGCAGGCGTGCGGACGAAGATTCAAAGCTAGTGAGTGTACATGTGTATCTCTCTTGGGGTTTACGGACGTCAGCTGATCAAGCCATCTCATTACTCTCCCCTTCCTTGCTTGCACCTTCACAGCGATCCGCCGCCGGCTGGCAAGCCTGTGCGTGCACCCTTACCCTCTGATCTCTCGGAGGGCCAACCAACGCCGGTTCCATTTCCGCAGAACGAATACGTCATCGCACAGTTCGATTTTGGCGGCGCCGAACGCGGAGACCTCACGTTCAAGCGCGGCGATGTGATCGAGGTCCTGCGCCGCACGGCCAGCCGCGAAGACTGGTGGGACGGCAAGTGCCGAGGCCGACTTGGCAGCTTCCCCGCCAACTACACCGAAGATCTGTGATGCCCCGCCTGGTGGTTAGGCTTGAGGCTGGATCCCTCTTCCGCCTGGACGAGCAGATACACTACCTTCATTCCTGCTACTGTTCTCTCTCCCCATTTTTCTCAATTATCGAAACAACACTCGCACTTCACTTCGCACGCCTCTGTATATCTGCACTCTGTTATGTATGTTCTGCTTCTTGCTTGTTGGTCTCACACGCGACGAACCCGCCCCACCGCATGCATCAGCTACATTGCAAAGCGCGCACCTCTAGCATACATTGATAGAAAGATACGATTATCTTGATCGTAATCGGCGCTGAGGTGCGGCGATAATGGTGGTCCTTGCACGAGAAAAATGTATATCATCGCAGCATTCTTCCTTAGAGATTATGGGGTGCATCGAAGCGTTTGCGCAAGAGGCCTTCTTGCGCCTGGAAGATCGGATGGAGAGGTTCAGCACTCGAATCGTGCCATGTCGCACCGCCCTGGAAACGTTCCACATCGCGACGCACCACAACAGCGACCAGCGTCCCGTCGCGCCTATACAGGCGCCCGAGGACGACACCACGCCCGTTGGACACGGCCTGAACCTGCATCACGTACAGCACCCAGTCGTGTACGTCAAAGTCGTGGTAGAACCACATCGAGTGGTCCAGCGAGGCCATCATCTTGATCTTGCTGCCCACATTGAGCGCCTTGGGCACGGCGGAGAGCAGGTAGAAGCTTATAAAGCGGGGGCGGGGAGAGGCATGAGCGACGGTGGCAAGCCATACTCAAAACTAAGGCGAGTGGCCACTTACTCGCTCGCATACGCCAACGCATGCTTCTGCGCATCCGCACCGCCACGCATCGGCTCCCGCGTGCGCATCCAGAACGCCTGATGATCTCCGGGCGTTGGCAGGCCCCGCTCGTCATACATTCCGGGGAGCGCGTCACGGATCTCAACGGCGGAGCTGCGGCGGTCGTTGATCCAGGCCTGCAGAATGCGCACCGTCGCGTCCGACAGCTTGCTCCCCGCGCGCGCGAGCACGCGTGTGTAGCGCTCCTCATTGCATGGCGAGTCTTCCGGCGAGCGCAGCGTGCTGACGAAAGAGCTCCACGACTGCTCACTCATCGTCGGCGGCCGGGTCATAGACGTCCCTGCTTCCTCGATAATGCTGCCAATCGCGCGAGTAGGGCCTCCGTTAGGTTTCGATGGGCTGCCAGAGCTGCTGCTGTCCGCCTGGAACTTCGGCGAGAGCGGGATGGCGAACGTTGGCTGCTCCGGCTCGGGAATCTGGTAGGACGAGATCAGGATGAAGATTGTCTTGCCGCGCTGGCTCGCCGTGGTCGAGCGCGTGACGTACGAGCCGCCGTCACGGACGCGTTTGACGGTATAGATGATCGGGATTGTTTCATCGCCGGCGAGAAGGAAGTAGCACTGAATGGACACAGTGAGAAAAAGAGGGGACTTGAGTGATGCGTGCCCGTGCGTTCGCAAAGGCAAAGAAGGGACACTCACGTGCATCGACTTCGAAGGGAGGCACGTACAAAAGTGTCATCGGGAGTTAGCAAAGGTTATGCGCTGGAGCTTGACGAGGGATTTCGTTCGCTTTCAAAGATGCTCACGTGCAGCACAGGGCCCTCTCGGACCGTGTTTCTGGCAGCCGACAAAGCCTGAGCGATGACTTGTCCGCCGAACACGCCTCGTGCCCTGCTCGGCGTCCAGAGCGACTGGCGGAAGCACATGAAGTTGGGACCAGCGTCAGATACGTACACTTGCAGAGATCAAAGGGAGGGATGCAGCACTTTATGTGGCACGAATTTCACTAACGACGCTTTTGTACAGATCGACGTCGACCTCCTCGACGGCAAGCGCGTCTGCGATGTGCTGGCGCGTGTTGACACCCCACTCGAACGCCTCCGGGCCCTTGTCTATCTCTCCTACGCCCCCTTTTCTGCCACTGCCGGCGGCGGTGACCTCAGTGGAAGCGGGAGATGCAGTATCTGTGCCTAAGCTGTGGGTGCTGGCATCCTCAGCCTGCGAAAGAGGGTCTTGGCCCTGCTCGCTGGCGAGCGTGCGCGACAAGGAGCGCCGAGTGGAGCTCATGCCATCGCTACTGCAGCTGCAGTGTCGACCCGAGTGGTTGGCTGTCGACTTTTTGGTCATGGTAAGATGGTGATGCGTGGGGCAGGTTCTCGGTCTGCTCTGCTCTGCGCTGCTCGGACGTGCTCTTCAGCACTGCTGGGTGCTAAGGGCGAAGGAGGTACGATGGATGGCTCCCGGTTATCAATATGGATGATCCATTCACTCATTTTAGAGGTCTATCCACCCCGGCCGAGAAGTGTTCCCCTCGGCTTCCGGCATCTTTCTGTGTGCCGGAAGCTCCGTCACGTGCTGCCACCGTCTCGCCGTCTCATCCGGGCGATTAGTAGAATGACATCAAAAGTGGGCTGAGTGCGGGGGAGAGGAGGGTGCGAGCCGAGCTGGGGAGGGGACATGACGACAATGTGGATGCGAAGGAGGATAGGGAAAGGGACGAGGTGTTCATATAGGTACAACTTGACGCAGCAGGACATCGAGTGTTCAACCGTGAGCCGCTGTTTGCCTTCCAACGATTGCGGATGCCCGCGGAGAGAGCCATCGGCAATGATCGCCATCGCCACCACTACTTCTGCGGGCGCCCATGACACCGAGACGGATGCATGAGCCGATATAGCATCTCATCTCATGCAAACATTCCCTACAACGAAGACCCCTGGATCTAAACTTCTTTTTACCCTTTTCCGCTCCACTTTGCCATCAAGCCGCGGTGGTCACTGCACTTCGACAACAATATCTACTCATACACACCCAGCAAAGACAACTCCACAAGCCCTCTGGCAAGGGCGTCAGGGCGCCGTCAAGGGCGCACACCCAGGAAAGAGCATTACGTGTGACGTTCTCAAGGAGATGACACCCCGCCTGGCAGCTGGGCTGCTCAAGGCCGGGCGGGCTCAGGGGCGGTGACGTGGTGCGAGCATGCAATGCGTCAAGTGAAATGTTTGCACCGCATACTCTTGTCCACGCTCTTGCTGAACGTGGTATCTCCATGACACTTTCTCCCTTGCTTGCAAGCTCATCTCGATTGTCTGCAACTTCATCTTCTCAATCGTCTACCTCGCCTGCCAAGCGGCGGGATTGATCACCGCGTGCTCGAGCCCACATTATACACTAAAGGAGCTCCCTCACGCGTTGAAACTGATGCGGCCAAAGCTCATTGTGACCTACTCGCGCTTCCACAACGCTTTCGATGCCGTCCTGCCCGAGCTGATGTGAAGCGGCTAGCTCGTACGGCCCCAGCTCGCGCTGACAGACGGCGAACCGGCTAATAAGGTGCGCCGGAGGCTGCTCGGCAATAGCCTCTGGGCACTTGAGATGAACGTCGACGAGAGCGTTGACCGCCTGCTCGCAATGCTCGAACGCGAAGGCGTACCCAGCGTCGAGCCGCCCCTCAGCATCATGGACGCGCCCAACTGCTACTTCTTCTCTTTGAGCACCGTTGGTATGTCCAAGGCGGTCATGTCGACGCAGACTAACGCGTATGAACAGACCCACGCGCTGTTCTCCGCGCCTGGCTTCACTTCCTTCAGCGAGAGGAACTGGCCACCGGACATGTCCTTCCCGCCGGAGGTGACGCCCCTTAAGCCTGGCGAGCTTGCCATGCTGACCCTGTCCTTCTTCCACATGGACGGGGACGGCATGGGGGGCCTCTGTGGGTGCAAGGCTCACAACGCCGAGAGACACCTCATCAGCATTTGACATCGGCGTCCTCCTCCGCATCATTGACCGTGAAAAGCTCTGCGTGCGTTCGACCCTAGCGCCCCTTCAGCCGCTGCATCCACCCTGAGAACTTTAGCTGTCGAGCCCACTTGGCTCATCTTCTCCCTTTTTCGTTCTGCTTCTAGCGAGGAATGGCGGTGTCGCCAATGCTCCTGTCGCTCGTGTGCTCGCCTAACCTGCACAAGAGACCTACTCACTCGGTCAACCGCTTTCTCACCGGTGATGCTCCCCTCGGGCCTGACTTGCACAACGAGGCGAAGATCGTGTTCGGCTGCCCCTTCAGGCAGGTGTGGGGTGCGTCCGAGGCGACAGGGGCCGTGATGCACGCCGCTCCGTTCGGCCTGGATAAGGGCGGCCAGCTCTTTCCCGGAAGTTCTGGTAAACCCGTCGTCGGAGTTGGGTTCCACATCGTAAATGCCGGTGGGGACACGCGCGAGCGCACCAACCTCCCGCCTGGCTAGAAGGGCGAGATCTGGGCCTGCAGCGGCATCGCCACACCCAGCTACCTGTCCAATGCCAAGATCAACTCGAGGGCTTTGAGCGAATCATGCTAGCGGAGCTTGCGCACTCACTGCGCCCACTGGCAGAGATTGGCTACGTTCGCTCGGATGGGCGGGCACATGCTCGTCATAAAGCGCCTTAAGGAGCTCATCAAGGTCCACAGCCTCCAGGTTACCCCTGCCGGAGTCGAGGACAGTCAACCGACCTGGTGTGAGTGATCTTTGCCTTGCCTTTATTCCCATCTTGAAAGTTGATGTGTCAACCTGAATAGACATGCGCATCTATCCCCTGCCTCCCGTTTCTCCCGTTCTACAGTCTCATGCGTACATCGTCAAGCGCCTTCACGCCTTCACGCCAGACAAATAGCTCGCCAACTTCATTCAGGCACATATCGCCACGGTCACTGTGCACTACAAGCACATCTGTGGTGGCTTGCACTTCCGAGAGAGAATTCCGAATGGGTGAGTGCAGTCCTCGCATGCATGCCCCCCTTGCTGCCTGTTTCCATTTCCATATGGCTGAAGATGTTTCCACCTCGCACATTTAAGGACCCTCGGGCAAGGTTCTCAGATGCGAGCTACTGGGGATTGCGAAAGAGAATGATGGCGGTGGCGGGGAGGCCAAAGCGAATCTGTAGCTGGGAAGCCGTGGAAACGAACTAAATATATATGCAATCTCTTAAGTATAAGTGCTTGGTCCAAACTACCAAGAGCGATCTTGACAACCCCAGCACATGTGTACACCTATGTAGAAGCCGCTTGAACTTTCCGGCATTACCTATTGATGGAGTTGCCGGAGATGGTCTTTATGTAGCCTTTGCTTCTGTTTCGTGTGCTATTTGGGGATTCTAACACTCGCCTGGCGTTGTAGCATGCGACTTCGCCTTTCCCACTGACAGCGGAGAGTTCAAGCCAGGGAACGCTGGGACAAAGAACGCTGTTCACCAAAGTTCGCAAAATGGCCTTCCCCAGCGCACGCCGCGTGAGCACATCGCAATCCGCGCTTTCACCCGCTACCACCCGGCGGCTGATGAAAGAATGGCAAAGCATCCTGGAGAGCAACTTCAACAGCAGCAGGTCTAAAACATCTGAGCGAAGAGATGCTGCGCTTCCTCGAAGAACCATTTCGGCCTCGCGTCCGAGCAGTGCGCAAGAAGACTTGTTGGAGCTCAGACCGTGGGATGCAGACGGCGAGGACCTGTACGAATGGTACGCACGGATACGAGGCCCGAATAGTGGAAGCTACTCTGGTGAGCACGTTCTTGCTTATGAATTTATCTGATAATTTGATCTGACGGATGAGCTTAACACGCAGGCGGCGAATTCGATCTGTCCATCCAAATACCTCCGTCATATCCCACCAAGCCGCCGAAGATGTGGTTCAGAACTCGCATCTGGCACCCGAATGTGCATTTCAAAACCGGAGAGATCTGTCTCGATCTTCTCTCGTCGCAGTGGTCACCAGCATGGACGCTCTCGTCTCTCTGCACGGCCATAATCGCGCTGCTTGACTCACCCGAGCCTAGCTCGCCGCTCAATGTTGACGCGGCCAATGTCCTGCGCGCAGAGGACGAGGTCGCGTACAGATCTATGTGCAAGATGTACACGCGCCTCTTCGCTTCTCCAGTGGCACAGGTGGAGGCAAGGAAGGGAGAGCGGTAGCCGATGTACATATCCTTTTCCCTTCCCACCTGCCAGAAAGGAGCATATTCCACATGTTTCTAAAGTCTCATGGAGGCCACCTTGCCAGCTGAGGCACCACCATGGCCGATCGTGTGAGAGGGCCGGCCCCAATTTCTATGGTTCTGCTGCTCATCCGATATGTATTCGAACGGTGTAGCGTGAAGGGGCCCATTAGCCAAGGCGAAAGGAAGCACACTTGAGCGTTCGCTTTCGCGCGACGAACTGTAGAAATCACGGGAAGCCGCATCTCAAGAGTGCGGATTCCTTCGTTTGTCCGTGCACAGACGTCCTTGCAACCCTGTTTCAGCCGAAGGAAGTAAAGAGCCAAGCACCTCTGTGATAGTAAATGAACAATGCGATGCGATGGATCTATTGTACTAGTTACGCCTCTTGACAACGGATTATTTCTCTGTGGCCTCTGGCTGCTTGTTCTCTGCTGGCGCCATCTGATGCGCCTCCTCCATCACGACAGCGACAGACTAGAATGCTTTTGAGTCCTCAGCTGCTGTGCGAGTCTCTGTTGCACCTCCGGTATGCTGAGCCACGCCTGTGTCGCGTTCCGCCTGATTCCCACTCGGATTCAATTCTGCCACCTGCTCGGCACTGCTTGAGCCCGACTTGGCTGGAGTCTCATTCTGTGCTGGCTCAGCGCTTGTTGAGCTATTTGCTGCGGAGCCTGGCACCTCCGGATCCCCCGCCGCAGCGATTTCAGTAACACCCTCTTCTTCCTGGAAGACGTCATTCTTCAGAATCTCGTCTGCAAGAGCTTTAAGCCGCTCTTCGGAGTTAACCACTGACGATGCTGCAGATGCAAGCGTGTCGCTCGGCGCTGATGGTTCCACTGGTGCTGATTCTGTTGAGGATGAGCTGCGAGTCTCTGCCTTGTCAGTGACGGCACCTGAAGTGTAAGGCTGTAATGCCTCTCGTAGCATTCTTGTGCCAACTCCAATCTCATGATATCTGCCAAGGACGAAAAACGTAGGTCAGCATCGCACGTCGCTTGGTGAAAAATCCTTGTTACACACCGGAAAAGCTGCGCCTTCATGCCGACGCCTGGCACGGCCCATATGCGCAAGAACTGCAGCCACCGATTCACCGTCTCGTCATTGGCGTCGTAGAGCTTGATGGCCCTCTTGTGTGTCTTTCTCCAAAAGTTCTCTTGGCACTTCTTATGCACGAACGGCGATTTGGGCACGGTCCACAAACGCGTGCGCGTCGGCAGACGCGCCACGTTCGATGCGGAAATGTCGAGCGCAAAGGCCGCGTGGCGCGCAAAATTGCAGAAGAAGTCGAGGGAGGCAAGGGATGGTCCATACGCCTGCAACGAGAGAGTCGCCACGTGTACGCCGTGTGTGGGAGCGCGGGAAGGTGCGACTGTGAACACTTTGGGCGGCGTCGGCGGGACCACCAGGCTCTTATTCCCCTTTCCCGCCGGCGCTGCCTCGTCTGGGATTCTAAGATAGGTAGGCTGGGTGGAAGAGATGGCGACGCCTTGCGGGGGCGCCGTTGCGGCTGCCGAGAGTGGCTGGACAGCTGGCGGCCGAGCGTCCTGTGCGGCCGAAGTGGACCTTAGAAGATGAGATGGAAGGAAAAGTTCAGGGAGGCCCTTCAGAGGTGTATTTGGTCGGGACAAGCACCGGCCACTCACGATAAACCTCTTTGACAACGCCATGTGGCCGCACATGACGAGCACGCAGGATTGGTCGTCAAGCGGCTAGAGCTAGCGATGCTGCTCGCACCACCGCCACCGCCATGCGACAAGCGTTTCGCAGCTGCAGAGGCGACACTCCTGAGTCCAGCCTTCATGTTGTGCACGTTTTACGTCTGCGATTGCTCTTGTGTTCTACTGACAATGGCCCGAGTTGCAAGCCAGTAACGAGAAGAAGGTCAAGAAGCGAAAAGGTGCAAGACAAGAACTTCGATGGCAAGAAGTTAGTGCATGTGGGAAAATTGGTCACGTGCTCATTTAAGCTACGGTCAAAAGCTATTCGATCAAAGCGCATATGTGCGAGTAGGTGACCTGGCACGCTTCGATGACAATGGCCATGGTCCGATGGGCAGATAACTTGGTTCGAACGACGTAGCAGCTGGTAGAGGCTGACAACATCCGCTGCGTACGCCTCTGAAGTGCCGTTTCGCAATCAGCTCGTGGTGCTCGCAGCGAGTCGGATGCTCGCTGGTGTTGGATTGATCGCGTCGCCAACTTTTGCGGTTTGTGACGCGACATCGGCACAATAGATATACGCCAAAAGCAAAGCACACCAGCTCACACATAGGTCTGGCGCAACCTTTCCTTTGTTGCATGCACCTAGAAGACTCTCGGGAGAGCCAGCTGTCATCCGTGCAGCCTTGGTCGATCCGCAGTGCAGCTCGGTTACCAGCATATTCTCATTCCATTGGCGACCGAGCCCTTCGAGCCAATATCATGTCGCGTCGATCAGCACGCACACGCACTTCAACAGGAGCCACTACATCTCCGGCACGCTCATCACCACCGATGGATGTTTTAGTACAGGCGAATGGTGCGTCGCAAAGCGTTGCTGCCAGTACCAATGCGGCTGGTGATGAAAATGGTCAAGGCGGGACTGGAGCTGAAGTGGAGACGCGAGTGGGAAGCAAGCGCAAACGCCCGTCGAGTCCGGAAACAAGAACGTCGGCAGGAGCTGATCCAGGGACAGCGGAAACAGCGGTGGTAAAGTCAGCAGCAACAGCAGCATCGCCCACAACACGCCGCGGTCCTGTCTGTCCACAAGTCCCCGCCAGTCCCGCATCCACTGCAAGCATGACTGCTGCGACAGCAGCTGCATTCGGCGCTGCAGCCGCAGCAGCAGCCGCTGAGAAATTGAAGGGCAGCGCAAATGTACGGGTGCAATTACAACCTCCAATGTTCTCGCCTGGACATGTTCCCGGCCCTGCAGCAACTTCAGTAGCAATGACTGTCGTTCCATCAAGCCAAGAGCTCACCGGCGAAGAGGAGTCTGTGCCCAGCCTGCAGGCACTGGACGCGTGTAAACCAAATAAGTTGCTGCGAAACTATGCGCTCTCAAAAGAACTGGATGCAAGGGAAGGGAGAGTCAAAGATAAAGACGAAGACGGAGATGCGTCTCTCTTGGCTGATGGTGGCGATGCGACCCCCCATGCCAAGCACGTACCACAGGCGCTCGTCATTAAAAGTCAGCCGCATGATAAGGATGACCTGCTGCTCAGAAGTGAGGACGCTTGGAAGCTCAAGGTAGTCTTTGAAAAGTGAGTTGAATATCTGATTTACTTCGCAAGGCATTCGACTGACTTTTGAGCACGCTGGTATGGCCACAGGCTCGAACGCGAGCTCCGCACTGACGTGCTGCACATGCACATACCCGGCACACTCGAAGAGCCAGATCATGAGCATGAGCACGAACAGGAGCACGATAGCGAAGACCAAATGGAGCATGACACTGAGGCGGGTGATGACGGCGCCTCTGCTTCCGCGTCCCCCACGGGGCGCGCTTCCCGAGGGCGTGGGCGATGGGGCCGCCGGGGCAAGCGCGGCTCACGCTGGACCACACGCAAGCAGCATGTCAAATCCCGGATACAGCAACAGTCGCACCCCGAGCAGCCGGGGCACCAAGAGTCTCAGGACGCGTCCGAGGCTCAGGCGGAAGGCGATGAGCAGGACGAGCGCGCCCGCAATGGGACAGATGCCATTGATCCATTGCCAGTGCCTCGCTTCGAGCTAGGCCTGCCTTTCAGCAGCATTGAGGAAGCCCTCAGTAGGGCTGTCAATGCGGCCGAGCCGGGCACAAGACTGTCCGACCTCAACGATGCATCGCGGGCCGCAGCGGCGCAAATCCGGCATGACCAGAGTAGCGCGAAGCTCGCACGTGCCGCAAAGAGTTCCGCTAAAATGGACGTGGCGCTTACATTAGAGGCATTCCAGCAGCGTCGAAAGGAGGACGAGCAGGAGCAACGGCGTGCGAGCTCACTCAGCGTCCTTTGCGTGCTCGATTCTTTCATCCATCAACTTGGCCGGCGCTATCGCACTACAGAGCCGCGCCCATTCGCAGGCAGAGAGGGGGAGGAAACTATTGTCGCTCTGGAAACGCCAGGGATGGCAGTTGTGCCCCAAATGACACCGGCGAGCGATATCAAAATTGAACCAGGCATAGTCGGCCAACTTTCGAAGAGAGAGAAGGATGTGGAAGATCTGCTCCTTTCGCTTGCCAAGGAAGATGCCCTTAGTAGAGCAAAACATGAATCGACGCACGCCGACGAAAACCCCAAAACAAGAAATACGCCTCGGTATGCGCAATACGCACTGCACATGCGTCTAACGGGTGGGGATTACTTCACCAATGCACGCTTCCTGGAAGAAGAGGATGCACTTGCGCTTGAAACGGGCGAAGCGGATCTTGTACACGTGCAGCCGACCAGTCTGGGCAGCAAGAGCAACGGCAGGAGCGTCCCGACACTGGGTGAGCGCGTGCTTCGGAATGCCAGCTTGCGCCCCCCCGTGCCGTCTGCGGACGAGATCCGCGCGAGGAGAGAGCAGAGGGTCGTCGGTCGTGAGTCTGCCCTGCGGATCCCTGTGATCTTTGCTTCTGCGGATGTTGACAGCCTTCTGGATTTTTATGCTTCAGCCACGCACCTCTACTATGGGCCATGCGCTTCCTTTGCGCCCTCATACGACACGACGAATGCGACGCTCAGCTTTGGTGGGAGCATTACCGCCCGTCTTGCTAAGAAGGATCCGCGCACGCTCGAGCTTGGCCGGAAATGGGTCCGGCCAAACCCTCAAGATCTCTTGAATCAGTTTGAAGAGCTGGAGGACGATGGGGACGAGGCGAGCGAAGAACAGGAGGTGCAAGGGGATGTTCGAATGGGTAAAGAGCCAGCACCCATAGCGGCCGGGGTAGGCCTGCCACTCCCACCACCGCCACCGCCAAATGAGCTGTCTAGCGACGCGGTGGAGAAGCTGGGGGACATCTTTGATCCGGACGCTTTGCGAGCTGCTTATGCGCAAGCGGTTTTCCAGCAAAGAGTGGAGGAGAAGCTGCGGGCCAATATGGCTCTCATCGGCAAACTGCAGGAAATGCAATGGGAGCGATTGCGCGCTCACGAAAAAGAGTTCTGGCGAGATCCGCTTCTGAGAAATACAGAGCAATACTTGCAAGCGGATGGAAGGGAGTCAGCGTTAGGTGAGTGATGTTTCGTTTTTTCCTCTTTCAATTTCATGAACAACTGTGTCTAAACAGCTACTTCGTTTTCGATAGCACACGACCTGCTCGAGTCCCTCGCGGAGCTGCTTGGAATGCGACCACACACGCTGGGCAAGGGCAAAGCGCGCAATGCTCTCCCCAAACGCAAGACATTCGCAGCCGCAGTCCATTCGAATGCGATCGATCCTGCGTTGCTTGACGACAATGTCGACTCTGGCTATTGGGGTACCATGGCATCGGCGACGCACCGCAAAATGCCACGGGTGATCAAGGATCAGGAAACTGCGCGACAAGCTGAGTCTTCAGAAGCACATTACCGTCACAAGTACGCAGTGCGAGCTGCCGGCGTTCGACCGAGCAGTAAGGGTTTGCTCACTGAAGTCGCTGCGGCGCGCAACTACGTGGGTAAGACGGTTGAGGAAGATATGCCCCTCCCCCCGATTCCGAGAGCTGCATCCCAAGTCCAGAGCACGGTACCGAGCCAAGGCACAGCAAGACCGAATCCGCACCCGCAGCAGCAAGACAAAGGCATGCCTGGTCCGACAGGCTCTGCGTATCGTGGACCGCCTTACAACAGCACTTCGATGGGGATACGCGGCCCGCCGGCAGGAGGCGTATCAATGAATGGCCGTGTTCTGCCAGGCACCTCACCAGGCGTACACACGCCCATGAGTGGCCATGTGCGCCCATCGCTGCAAGTCGGTACCCCACACTATCTGCTACAGCACGGGCCGTACAACGGCCCATCCCAAGGCATGAACCCTTTTGCAGGTGCTCTATCCAACCCTCATCCGAGCTACGTAGGCCCGACACTACCTAATCTGCCAAATGGTGCGCTCCGACAACAGTCTTACTATGGTATGGCCCACGCTCGTCGCTAATCGCCATCGACTCTGAGGCATCAAAATTTTCTCCACTTGCACTGCCTTATTTGTCAGGAAAAGATTCAATAAGACAGACTTTTGACGGCGCACAGTTTACGAAGATGCGAATGCTGAGAATGCAAATACATTAGACTCGTCACGCATACACGAAATTGTACCGCGACAGCAGGTGCGGTATCGCAGCCAATTGAGGACCGTATCGCTGTGAGTTATCATATAGCTCGAAAAGCGGGACGGCGAGCAGCTTCATGTTCTTTGGCACTGCCAGAATTTCTGCGGATAAGAGAGTGCGACCGTCAGCCCCTGACAATATATTGTAAGACAAAAAAATGAAGCCAAGCATACGCACTTGTCGGCGGCATATTGATCAGATACAATCGCTTGCATTCTTTCGGTTTCGTGATGTGTGCAGGGATGTACGGGTACTAATATGAGCGAATGCAATTCAGTCAGCCCAGACGTCTGACCAGCCACATTTCCCGGCCCCGCTTACCATGAAAGTCTCGAAAGCTGGCCGCCACCATTGAGCCAAGCAGTCCCCGACTTCCCAATCGCCGCCTGCACCGCCCATGGGACCGGCTGGGCCGAATGAGGCAGGATCACTGGCAACTGGCGCCAAACGCGCGTCCAGTCGCTCCTTGATGCCTTCCGTCTCGTCTTCACCTGGGCGAAGATAGTCGCCGGGACTGTGTGCGATGCAAGGGAGCAAGAAAGCAAGCGAGGTGTTGATTCTTCAGTCGACGTTCTTGCACACCACACACAAGACTAGAAAAGTTCGACATACAGCTTGAAGAACGCGTTGGCGATCTGCAGCATCAATACATGCGGATGCCCATGCTCGTGAACGACCAGCACGCCTTCCACCGTCCGTCGCATACCGAAATCCTCATAATTGTTCTGCAGGCGCTGGAGACGAGCCGCTACTGATGGGTCCTCTTCTGGTTGCGCTTCTTTGGTTGTGAATGTGAAGGACGAGAGCGGCTGGAGGATGATCGTGGAAGCCATATTGAACGTGATCCTTCGGAGGTGACTTGAAAACTCGGCTTCTAAAAAGACACACAGCTTGCTGTCAGGAGATGCCCAGGCGGAGCTGTTCTCCCAATTGAGGGAGGTTATGCAACTGAGATGGTAGATGCTACCAAAGAGGACGTCGGCGCTACCATCATCCGCATTGACAGCATCACACTCAGCGAAGGAAACCTCTCGGCCGGGCGGAACTGCCAGAAATCTTCAGCATAGGTCGAAAGTACAAATCAAGGCCCTCAATTTCTAATCGATCGCAACAGCACCCTGCCCCCGGATCCTAGCCAACTTTACAGGAGCAAGACGCCTGCGTGCTTTTCCCAGAGCAGGATAAGAAGGTCTGCCAAAGATGTCGCGAGGCGGCCGAGGCGGCTTCCGGGGTGGGCCCCGCGGGATGGGCGGAGGTGCCCCCATGGGCGACATTTCGTTCAAGGAACTCATGGAGATTACGAAGGGCAGCGGCGAGCTATATCCTGTGAGCATTGGACACAGGGAAAGCCTTTGAATGTGGGAAGCAACGCTAATTGACTTTTGATCAACTCTCCCGCCAACTCTCCAGCGAATTGAAATGAATTTTGGATTGGTTGAGCCCACCCGAAGAGAACGCCGCAACGCGAAGGCTCAGCTAGAGTTTCTACGAAATCAGCGCTTCTCTCCGTACTGGCCCTCCATCGAAGCCCCTCCATCTGCAGGAAGCACGCATCGCGCTCCTGGAACTGGGAAAGCACCAAGCGCGAGAGCAGTTACGAGTATGAAGGAAATTCACTTGCAGAAGGAAGTGTTTCCGCAGGGCATCTGGCAGGCTTTCATGGAAGGAGAAACCAAACGTGTTGCTCGAGCTGAGCGGCAAGTCAAAAGGCAGAAGCAGGAGATCGATTGGTCCCAATTTGAAAAGAAGGTGGGTCGTCATCGGTCTACAATCCTTCGATATTTGTTAGTGCTATTCTGACAGCTTCGTTCTCCTTCAGGCTGTCGAGGGTGAACCGGTGGATCAAGCTGAAATATCGGAACCAGAGGAGGTGGACGAGTACGAAGACGAGCAGGACGATGACTACAACCAGAACTACTTCGACAATGGAGAGGATGAACGCGACGACCTCGGCGATGACATGGGCGGAGGTGATGATGGGGTCTACGAGTGAGGGGTCAACGGCGACCCAGCCTACATGTTCCTATCAGCACACATGAGCATGCAACACTACGCATTACTGTATTTCTATTCAAGATTCGGCGAGCGCGCCAAATAGCATAGCCATTTGGAGAGTCAGCAGTGAAGATCGTTGTACATGTCCTATTCGATGACAAATTCTTCGACGGTTCGCGTGGGCGAAGCGGATGTGACGGGGTGGGGACTATTTGAACGACCTGGCCCCATGTTGGGGCTGAGTAAGCTTCTGACTTGCTGTGGGCTGACAAGGCGGTCTGAGCTCCGCAGACCCACCCGCGACAGCGACATGCCGAAACCGGAGACAGGGCTGTTCGTGCTCGGATTTTCATTGCTGCTCTGAACAATGGGCACAGAGACGCGGCGCTGCACACTGATGCGCTTGCTCTTTGACGGTGAGCCTTTCAAATGTGAGTCAGCGGCTGAAGGGTGCAAAAGCACCGTATCGCCAAACAGCGAGTTCTCCCGTGGTGAGCCATAGTCAAGCACGGTCTGGCCGTCATCCGGCTCTTCCTCTTCCTCTAGCGTCGGGTCAAGTGCGTTTGGCGCTGAGGTGCTGCGTTGAAGGAGAGGCGCTGGATCAATCACGATGCTCGGCGATCCCATCCGGCTCGACGTTGCCGCCCTAGGTGTCACGCCTTCGATGCAGTGCTCATTGTCCATATTTAGCGTGGATGTCGTCACGTCTGCAGATGTGCCTTCTAGAAGTCCCGCCTGGACGATGGCATTCCGGACCATATCGCCGGTGTCGTCCACACTGCGAAGGAAGCGAAGAAGATCCTTGCACAAGGCCCATTTCTTTTTTGAAGCCGCACGTCGCAGAAGCCGGACTGTCATTACTGTGCTCTCTTCGACGCTCTCCAAGCTGTGCAGGACGAGGAGGTACGATGCAGCGACCCTGAGCTCATCCCGCTCAAGACATTTTTCGAAAAGGTCGGTGGGATTGCCGGCATAGGAGAAGAGATAGCCCCACCGTGTGAGCTCCGTCTTTCTCGCACAGTTCACCACGACGCGCAAGGCATCGTCAAAGTGATCGAGGAAGTCAATAACCAGAGGCAATAGTCGCTTGGCGTTCTCGTCCGTGCCGCGATTACCATCCGTCCCTGCTGGTAGCGATTTGAGACCTTCAGCATCCGCTTCATCCTCAAGCACATCGTGCAAAAGGATCTCCATGGCATGTGCGAAATAGACAAGTTGAGAGTAATGCGACGCGAAGGCCACGGCATGCCGCACGTGCCGCTTTTTTAGTAGGTTTCGAAGCACTTGTTGCAGGAAGAGATGTGTCTGTCGCCAAGGGAGGGGGCTAATCAGCCGCGTGTTTGAAATTGGCATGTCGCAAAGCTGTACTCACATTTGTGCTACTTCGAAAGATGACGAAGTCGAGCGTCTTCCGAAGCGACATATCAGGGTCAACACCGATGATGATACCCTTCTCCATCAGCACACATAGCGGATAAAAGTCCAGCCCGAGCGTCACGCTTTCCTCAATCGTTTTATAGCCGTCGTGTTGCCCTTCATCTTCAGCGTCTGAAGGCCCCTCCGAGTCGTCCATTTCAGAATTGCTGATTGCTATACGCCGGGGTTGATCTAGTGCAAGCGCATTAAGCCACACCTTCACTGAATTGCCGTCGTATCCCCAAAGTGAATTTTCCAGTCCCCCGATTCCCTTCAGATGCGTCCAGTAAAACTCTATCTGATCTGCAAGAACTTGCATGTCGTACGCCACCTCCTCCTCATCCTGCCCCAGTCGCCGCGGGCGGAGCAAGATGAGTTTTCCGTCAATGAGAAATATGATCGCTGCCACGGTCAAGTCGTCGATCGGGTCGCCGAACTCTTGCTGCGAGGGTGGCACCATCCAGCTCATACCGCGCACTCGGCTCGGCTCCCCAACGACACCGTCAAACGTGATGCTTCCGCAGAGCTTCAAGCGGATGCTATCCGTCGTCGTGGTGATAAGGTAGTGGTAGAAAGTATTGTCCGCAGTGTAAACCAGCAAACTATCCTCGAACAGAGAAGTCAACAACACCGGGCTGCTGACCCTTTCGAGATGTAGCAGCTGCGAGTTTTCCAGCTCCAGATCGCGCGAGTACATGCGGATCTGGTACTCATCACCAAAGTCGCATGCAGCAAGAAGCACATGGTGGAACCATTGCATCCCACCTCGAATGGCAAAGGACTGCTCTTGTTGGAGCTTGGTGTATGTCTTCCATCTCCCAGAAACGGTGCTGTAGTGCGCCAGACCTCGCCTTCCAGCGACGGCAATAAGCTTGCCGTCGCTACTGATGCAGGCATAGCGGATCGGCCAATTGCTGGCAATGTATGCTTGGGGTATCTTGATATGATGCCAGATGTCGCTCTCCGGATTGATTATGCTGACATCAGGCTGGTCCGATCCGCGGTAAACGAGCAGGCTGTCATCGAGCTGGACGAAGGCATATCGTGTATTGTCCGGTGAGTGCTGACCTGCGATGGTCGATTTGGCAAACGGAAGTACGAAGAGCTGGTTGTCCGGGTCAAATGCACGGTCTTCCTTTTTCCGCGCAAGAAAGTAGAGTTCAGTATTGCCGAGACCCCAGAAGAGACGCTTGGCGCCAAAGAGGAATGTGTCCATAAACTTTTTATGCATGCCTGTCCAGCTTTCTCGCAGACTGCATCCCATCAACTTGCCGTAGGTGCTCCACACTGCCCAACCGTTCTCCCACGCAACTGCAAGCGCATGTCCATCGCTGGTCCAGCTGAGGCTCGTCACGGGTCCCGTAGTCAGGTAGGATGCTGTTGACTTGTAAGATTGACGTAAAGACAGAATATGTGTCTGAAGCGGCACTCGATCCGGACTGCGATAAGAGTAGATGGCGACTGTGCCGTCTTGCAAGCCAATTGCTATCAGACTGAAACGTGCATTGACAGCGGACTGCACTGCTCGTTTCTCTTCCGGTACCTCGGCGTCCAGCGCGGGCTGCTTGCCCTTGATGTCCAGCTTACCAGCTTTGAGATCCGAAAAGCTGGTTTGCCGCTGCTTGGAGCTCTCTTCGGGGCCCGCAACACTGACACCCGAAGCTCGCCGGCGCAGCTGCAAGCGCTGAAGGCCGTGAAAGCTGCGTCCTTCCCAAAAGCCCGAAGAACAGTTGGCATCGACATCCAGGTGCGCGGCATGGGCTCGACCATCGGAGGTGATCCACACAAACAGGTCCATCGCGCGCGAATGTTCTATTTGCCGGACGTATACTTCTTGCGGGTGTGTCGCCTCCTGTAGGCCGGGCGGATCTGTGTCTTCGTCTGCGGCGGGTACGGATGTCGAAGTTGAGGCGGACGCTGAGCTAGAGCCGTTCAGAGATGCGTTGGACTCGCGCGAGACTGCCGATAGCTGGATCCAGTCAAGCCGGCTGATGAGAGATGTTCGCGTTGCTGGTTGAGCTTGCCGCTCCGCTTCCTCGATGGAAGCTCGTGATTTCCCAGCTGCCAGTGCTTGTCGCTTCGCAGCACCCGAGATAGAGCTCGGTGCATCAGGCCACGGTATCGCCTGCACCGCAGGTGGATTAAGGGTGGCGACGATGAGTTGCGATTCAGTAGGCGCGCAACACCCTAATCCTGCGTCAATCTTGAGCGCCATACTAAATCGCAACTCGCACATCTCCGCATTGGAACTGCCCGAATTTCCTGCGCCATTTTCCATCCCGTTGAGGTTGCCGCGGCCACGGGTACCTGCAGGAGAACCATCCCCATACTTCACGCTTGCGTGTTCCCCAGGAGAAAGATGGAAGACGGCTTGCAACGCTGCAGGCGTAGGTGTGAACAGCTCGTTTGACGTGGCGGATTTCGCCCCAGTACCCGATGGAGGCACGTAGGAAAAAATGGCTGGAGTAAGGAAGGAAACATTGTAGAGGAGCAGGAACGACTTTGACGTCTGCAAGTGTATTTTAAACTTCAACGTGTTTTCGGGAGTCAATGGGTATCCTGGCTGATGAGGCCCTTACCTCGATCACCAAGCCGAGCCCATTTGGCCGCCATTGCACCTTGACGTTCTCTCCATATTCGTCAACGCTCTTTCGTGTACGCCGCAGGGCTGCAATAACCTGTGATGGACGCGTGCTCCACACCGCGATCGTGTACGGACTTAGGCTGATCCAATGCGCTCCGTTTCGCGAGCGCGCAACATCCACCAGCTCCTCTTGATCTTCTGGCCCGCCTCCATCTTGTGCACAATTTTGGAATGACCGCCCGAACGACGCGGAAGGTCCCGCTGATGATGGACCAGCTCCATTTGGAACTTCTAGAGGAAACCCCGAAGTCGTAGCTGCCGTCGGGGGGCCGTTCGCCTGGGCTAAGACTTGAGCTGCCGCTGCTTCCTCCTCAGTTGCTGGCGGCAGCTGATGCAAGCCTGCCGGCGAAAGATGCAGCCGCCGTGCCGAGAAAACTGGCCAGTACATGTTGAACTGAACGTCTCCTGGTGTCTTTTGTCAAGAATGCATGCCAATCGTCTCGATGATCAAGGTTGAGTAGTAATCAGGAAGAGTGAAGATGAGGCGCTGTCGTTCTCCAAAACGCAAGGACAGCCAGCAGCCCAGCACCGGTGACGTCGGTGGCGTGCACAGTGCATCCGGCGCGCTTCTTGATAGATAATGCACGCTCAGTAAAGACCACACTTTCCCTGCGAGCCACTTGCCGCGCCCAAGATGCATGCACGTACGCGGATGCTTCACCACAGACTATCTCGATACTTCCTCCGATGGACGAGATGGACGATGGACGATGATCCTGATCGTCTCGCTGTCTTGTGTGCCTCGGTCCACAAGCAATAGAGACGATGGAACCCTACTTTGTTATGGATCTACTAGCGGAACCCTAATTTCTGGACATCCCCCCGGGAACCGTCCCCTTCGTCCGTCTGCCATCGCACGCACAAGTGGTAACGCGAGCCTTGTTTTTGGGCCACGTCCTTTTCATGCTTTCTTCAAAGGCCATCCCACCTTGCGGATACATCGACCATATCTGGTCAATGTTGGGAGCAAACGTTGCTCTTGATCATCACACCCCTTTTCCGCTGCCGTTACACGTGCTGCTTGTGAGCTTGTCTTGAAGGGCATACTCCTCTAGCGGCCTCACCAGGAGAAGAACACGATGGCAGAGTTTGTTGGTAGCGTGTTCATCTCCCGTGCTCCCATCTCATCCTCGTCTCTCACCTCGCCCCCTCATCAGCTCCCTCAAGGACAGATGTTATTCTCCAGCTTGTACGATCCTGATCTCAATTCTCAAGCTATCTCAAGCGGAGCGTCAAACAACCCTGATACCCACTCGGACAGAATGGGACCTACTTTACCTGCGCAGGTCGAGATGGAGAGCCCTTTAGCAGGGCCAAGCTCAAGGCCTTTCTCAAATTTTCAAACATCATCATCCCAAGGTCCACAACATCTGCAGCAGCAGCAGCATCGCGTAGTATTTCAGCCGAGTGCTGTGTCAGGCGCGCCTTCGGCTTTGGGCTTTGGCTTTGGCATTGGGTCTTCACTAGGCGGGAACAATGAGCTCCGCACAGTCTTTCAAGCGACTCCGTCCGGCGCTAAAAATACAGTCGGGTTCGGCTCGGGACTTGGTGGGGCGGTTGGCAGCCCTCCTTACTCTTTTGCCAACAGGCAAACAGCCACAAAGTCACAAGGACCGTTTTGGGCCTCACGCAGCTCGCAAGTGCAAGCGGCTGCTGCCGACAGTCATCCAAAGCGAAGAAAGAGTATCAGCTCAGATGAGAGTGATGATGACGGAGACGCAAGCATTTCATCGCCGGGAAAGCGAAGACTGGGAGTTGCAGCAGGAAATGGCAGCCAACTACACAGGCTTCTTTCGAATTCACAGCAAAGCGACGCGAGACAGCTGGTCCCGAAGAAAATGCGCACAGGCTTTGCTGCCAGTCCATCCTTGCTTGACGATCTCCGCCAGTCGCTTCCAACCCAGGCGCCAATCCCCTCCCAGCCTGAGCAAGATGACGACTTTCTACTTGCCTGTACGTTGAAATCTTCAGCTGTGGCAAGCAGCGAGTTGCAACCATCGCGCCGTTGTGCCGCGGCGAAACGCCCCGCCAGCGCTGTCGCAAAGGACGCTTTGGCAAGGACAGCAGCCAAGTGCGAGCTTGATGTCGGCGAGATGCTCTCCTGGATGGACAGGCCATCGCTCCTCTCTCTGCTACAGCGGCTCCTGGATGAATCGCATGACCGCGACGCGGTCCGAGAGCAGATTATCCATTTGCTTCCCAATCCGACGCTGGAGATTGCCAATGCTGCATTAGACGAGGCAGAGAAAGGAGTGCACACAGCTATGCCAGGAAATGTGCCCAACCTGCGACCAGAATATGTTTGGAGTCGAATCCGGAGCCCCATCGCTGAATTTGCGAAGACGGCGCTCCGGTACCTGCCCTTTTTCGGCGTCGAAAGCAAACCTGTGCACGGATATGATCATTCATCCTCTCCGTCTCCATTACCAGCCCCAACCCATCCCGCCACTTCTTTTGCCTTCCTTCACACCGTCACCTCTCGCGCTCTTTCGCTTGAAGCAATGCTTCCGCCCGTACCCTCGTCCTTTCTTACTTTCCCGGAGTCATCATCGCTCGACACATCTTGCGGAGCAACCACTTACACGGATATCAATATCTTCTCATCGGCATCTGGCGAAAAGTCTTTCGCGTCGTACATTCCAACGCCCCTGCGCAGTCCTGCAAGCCCCGACGCCATCTTTACGCTCCTTATGCCGGCACTTCTGAATGCCTGGCAGGCATTCGGGGTGTACATTTCACACGCAGCAAATGAGCAAGGGCGCATATTTAGCCAGGAGCACCTCACCTCTTGGTTCGAGGCGCTCAGTTCACTTTCAATTGCTACCCCGCAAGGTGGTGACGGTACGCAGGGCGAAGGGAAGGTGGAGGTTCGGTTTATTCGCCAGGCGGCTGGACACCTCGGTCAAAGGCTGTATGCAGACTGCGGGTGGATGCTGGGCAAGCATCGTGCCGCAGCTGAGCACTCCGGTCAGCACCACCAGCAGCCCTCGACGCGAAAGAGGAGAGGGAGCTTCATGGATGAAGGCGAGCACGAAGAGCTGTGATGTACCGATTCGTTTTTGGACAATATGGCATGCTTGCGCGCATTTTACACTTTGCATCATCCTGTTAGACTAGCTGCATCATAATTCACATTTACAATTAACATGTGCCTCTCCTGGGCGGGTATATTCGCCATCGCCCTGCGACACGATACCTCTGAGCGGACGCTTTCAAACTTATGGCCTAAGCCAAGCGACCACACCTACCCTCACCTGGATCTACCACAGAAGAACTCGATAGCTGACTCTCCCTGGGTTGCGCCAAAATGCACGTTCCATAGTATTCAGTCAGATCTCGCTCCTATCCTCAGATGAATTAAGGACCCACCCTGGGAAACGGAGATTTTGAACCACTGGATGGCCCGAGAAGCTAGTTAGGGAAGAACGCTCACGAGGGATAGCTTGTGGTAGCGCACGGCATACTGCAATGCCAGGGAAACCGCGGCAGCGACAGATATTTAGTGCAGGGCGCCGAGCCTTGCATACAAAGCAGAGACGAAGAGTGCAGTAGGAAGAGAAGGATGAGCAGCAGGATTAGTATTCCGATGGGACCTTACGAAACCTAAGAGGCAAGGCTCATGCCGATTTCCGGGCACGACGTACGAATCCGGGGCGTGTGATGTGTTTAAACCCGGAATCCCACAGAGCTGGTCATAATAAAATCGCTGGGAATTAACTTCCCCAGACTGAGACCAAGTGACGATGGACTTGCTGCAAATCGGCCTTACTACACCAAGACATCATCTTGCAGCCTACGAAGCGTACGGATGCCGCATACGACTTTAGACCTCATCGACGTATGGCGCCCTGTACGAGCGAAGCAGCAGCTCTTACTCACAGCCAACGCGACCACAACGCGAACGAAACTTCAGGGATCGAGGCGACACCCATGCCTCGTAAGCGCACCCTCAAGGCCGTCGAGCCGGGCGCGCATCCTCACTCGGCTGCATCGATTCTCGAAAAGAGCAGTAGAGAAAGCCTCGAGGCAGCTTCGGAGATAGCCAATTTTTTCATAGAAAAGGGAGAAGAGATCGTCGTCAAAGTCGGTGACGAACTGAGCCCTGCGACTGGCCGGTCCGCCGAACCCGCTGTGGACCCTTCAGAAGAAGCCGAGTCCTTACCAACGACTTCGCCGAAGGGTAAAGGCAAGACGAAGGGTAAAGGTCGTAAGAGAAAGCTTCAAACAGAGGACTTGAGAAAAGAAGAGGCCGCAGCCAGTTGCGCAGAATCACAAGATCCGAGCGCGACTTTAGATGCACTAGCGACAGCGAAGGACCTTGTCGTCAAAGGCAAATCAACCTTGAAGGATAGCTTGTCGTCCGTTCTTGCTTCTTCACAAAACCAGCAAATTTTTGCAGTAGCCAGCTCCTCCTCGGACTCCGTTGCGTCAACTTCGACTCTGGCTTTTGACGCAGCAAGCGTGTTCAAGCGAAGCACATCCCATTTCCGCCTTCCCCATTGGCTTCAACGTCAGCCAGACGTAATTAGGCAGCCAAATTCTGTCTCATACGAACGACCCGCAAGCGCAAGCCCCCTTTCGAAACGTCTGTCATCTACGTCGTTATTGGGCGGCAAGAGCGAAACCTTACCGATAGAGCAACGCCAGAGCAACAAAGTCCCAGCGCGGTCGCGGGGGTGGATTTCGAGCATCGGTAACCCTTTCAAACGTGTCAAGTTCTCCACAATGCCTTTGAATGCTGTACCACGTGTTTCATCGACGTCCGTAATGTCTAAGAGCGTGGATCAAAGCTCAAGCGAGTCCCAACTTAAGAACGAGGCAGAAGCAACTGCGTCGCTCTGCCAAGATCCAAATGCTTTGGAGGCCGAGCACAAAGCGTACCGCGGCGAACAAGATGCAGGACAAGGCTCGGCGGAGGAAATGGTTTCATTATACCCTTTACTGCCGAATTTTAACGGCAATGCACTGCAACGGGAACAAAGCGCGTTGAAGATATTTGGCAGCGGCAGTGATATTGACCAACTTGCACCGCAGGCGACACCAACTCGGCGGAGCGATCGGAAGGGCAAACGCATAGACCAGGCTCAAACAGATGTCGACGGCTCAAAGGAAGCGATTTTCTCGTCTTCGTCAGAGCAAGTCAATGCGGATCCAATTCTGGATCGCAGCGTCGGCACTGAAGACACTCGTTTCAGGGGCGAGACAACAACCCAAGGCCAAGGGAGCCCCATATCTGCTTCAGAACCAAACAACAAGCCATCTCACAAGCCTCCTCGCCCACCGAACGATCCTTCCGTACTTGCGCATCATGACAAACCGGTGAGAACACTCAGAACGCGTGCAGCGCGTATGGCGGTTGAAAAGGCGGTGCAACAAGGTAGCTCCCAGTACAGCCAGAGTTCGGAGACGGAGTGGGAATCAGATGCATTACAGCCTTTGGATGCATCGCAGGCGCAGCCAGAAGGAGATCTTGCTCAATGTGCGGGCGGGGTAGTTGATGCGGATGCGGAAACAGAAACAGAAACGAAAGCGGAGGTGGATCGAGAGCAGCACCCGGACGCACTCAGCGCAGACGAGTCGGTCAGGATGATCAGACTGTTGGATGGCGCGCAAAGCGCAGCTTTGAAATCCAGCCCATCCGCACAAGTGCGGCATACCGGCCACGCCGAAGTGATGGATTTTGCATTGCAAGGCGGGGCACAAACTGCACGGGAAACTTTTGTCCAGCTAGGCGATCATGTCCAGAGCCAGGTCAAAACGCAACTGGAAGAAGCACAGACAGCCGAAGCACCTGCATCTGATTCCGAACTACTTGATACGACAAGACTAGGGTCAATGGGTATCTCGGCTACACCTCCCGAGCCTACCAAAGGCGGCCGCGCTCTGCTCAGCGTCGACTCCGCACCAGATGCGGTAGTAGATAGAGAAGGGGCCCTCTCGCGTGAAGAGTCAATACGTCTCATTGCGTTGCTCGACGGTACATCGAAGCTTGCCAAGGAGCTACCAGAAGGCGATTTGCAATTTGGTGGGCGTCAAGAGCCAGCGGTCCGGGACGACGAGAACGAGGACGAGGATGAAGACGAGGACGAGGATGAAGACGAGGACGAGGATGAAGACGAGGACGAGGATGAAGACGAGGACGAGGATGAAGACGAGGACGAGGACGAGGATGAAGACGAGGACGAAGATGGGCAGATTCTCATTTCCGGCCTGGGTGTCCATACCCATGCTCCTGTTGAGCTCTCAAACGAGATGAACCAGCAGTATGATGTGGCCGATGGTGACCTTGAGGATGTTGGCGAACCGGTCGACAGGGACCAGTTCGGGGTCGATTTTTCTCATGCGAGCGACGAAGACCACGAGTGTGATGGCGACGAGGACAAG